GGCTCAGTGGACTGAGCACCAGCCTGCAAACCTAAAGGTTGTTGGTTCAATTCCCAGTCAGGGCACATGCCCAGGTTGTGGGCCAGGCCCCCAGTTGGGGGCACATGAGAGGCAACCGATTGATGTTTCTCTCACACGTCAATGTTTCTCTCCTTTCTTTTTCCCTCCCTTTCCCTCTCTCTAAAAGTAAATAAATAAAATCTTTCTTAAAAACTGGAAAAAATCAATTGAATAACTTTTTCTCTCTCATATGAAGGAGGACTTCTTCAAGCATTTGACAATGAAGAGTTATTGTTCTTTTTATTTAATTTGTTTGGGAGCTCAGTGTCGAAGTTTCCACTGATAAGCTTTGCTTTACAGAAACTGGGTGAGGAGTTGGCCTTTATGTAAAAGTTGCCTTTTCAAAGGAGACATTTAGCTCCCACAGAGTAGAGCCCTCTGGATTGTAGCCAGCTGGGTAGAGATCTGGCAGCCAGGCACTCCCCCTAAATGTGATGGTGGGAGGGTTGTGTTCTGTGTCGAGATTCTCTGTTCGTTCCCTTCTTTCTGACAACACACCTCACTTCCGCTGCCTGTCGTACCCGGCATTTTCAAGTCCTGAGTTTCTTGGAGAACACTCTGGAGAGCTTCAGGTACATCCCCATCTACACATGCTCCTGGACTATGAGTTTCACTGCCCTGCTTTATCACTAACCACTCCTCATTCAATATCCTATTTTCTAGAAAATTCTTGAAATCTCTTACTGGCTGACGGCCTTTTTCCTGTTACCTTTGTCATTGTAGGTTCAAAGCCTTTTATTCCTACACTATTATGTAGGGACTCGATTACAGAGAAGAGATAAACACGAGGAGCAGATCAATCATCTTTAACCAAAAATCAATAGACTAAGTTAGATTTAGAAAAATAGAGGAATATAAGCATCCTCACTCTCAGCATCCTGGATTTGTCAAAATCACACCTGCTACTATCATAATAGTCTTTCCTGAATAGGTGATGTTTATTGAGCACCTACTAGAAATCATTCCAGTGTTTCTCAGGGCACCCTAAACCTGTATGGGGTTTGGGAGGAACTCACTGTGACATGTTCTTTTTCCCTCCTAGCCTGGGTTCACCGAGGTGACAGTTCCTCTCCTTCTTTCATCCCTTACCTGGGAGCAAGAGAAGAGGGCAGGTGAGCATAGTTCTACCTCCAGGGATGAGAGGCAACATTCTAGGAGTCTCGAATCCCTCCTGTTTCGCAGAGGACACCCCCACTGTTTCCTATGTATTTATTACTCTAGTGTTTACTGAACATTTGCCATGCTTCAGGCTCTGTCCTCAGTGCTTTACAAACATTGTCTCATTTCACAGGACCTTACGAGGTGGGTATTGTTACTCCCACTTTACAGAAGCAGAAACTGAGGCGCACAGAACATAGAAACGACAGCACACCTAAGCACATGCCTCTGACCTATTGTCAGCAGTGCCAGCAGGTGAACAGATTCCTCAGTCTCCAAAACTTGAAACACATTATGAAGTCGCTGTCACGGGGTAAGAATACTGGACAGGGTTCCCAAACCCTCACCCAGTTTGAAAACTCTGAGGTACAAGAACCATCAGCTGTACGTGGTCCTCCTTCCCTCTGCTCGCTGCAAGGTCACGGCTGGCTCCAGGGCTGTGACCCTCCTTACCCTCTGGTGACTTGCTTCAGGGTTAGAACTTGCTCCTGTCCTCCTCTTCCCTCACCCCCCTCTTTCTCATCTTCCTGTTTCAAGTAATTTTAGACTTATAGACAAATTGCAAAAATAGTACACAAAGAACCTACACCCAGCTTCCTCTTGTTAACATCATGCATAACCAAAGTACAATTATAGAAACCAAGAAATTAGTGTTAATATAATACTATTAATTAATCTATTGCCCTATTCAAATTTCACAGGCTTTTCCATTGAGGTCCTTTCTTCATTATAGTATCCAACCCAGGACGTCACATGGCATTTGTCATCTCTGTAGTCTCTTCTGATCTGAGACAGTTCCTCAGTTTGTCTGTCTCATGACCTTGACAGTTCTGAAGAGTATTAGCAATTTATTTTGTAGATTCCTCCAATTTGGGTTTGCCTGACATCTTCTTATGATTAAACTGAGGTTATGCATTTTGGGTGGGACCATCATGGAAGTGATGCTATTGCCCTTCTCAGTGCAGCGTATCAGGAGCTGTGTAAGGTTGAAGTACATTATTACAGACGATGTTCATTTTGATCACTTGGTTAAGGTGTCACCTGCATTTTTCTCCACCCTAATGCTACTAACTTGAATCGACAAATATTTTGCAGGAGATACTTTGAGACTACAAATATCCCATTTCTCATCATATTTTTACTCACTATTTTCAAAATCTGTTATCCATCAGTGACTCTTGCCTACAATTATTAGACGGAAACTTCAAGTACATCCTGCCTCCACATCTCACTCACTTTCAGATTCAAGTCATGCCTAGTGTCTCTGAGAGACCAAGTCTAAGAGGAAGACCTGTGTCCTAGCTATAGGAAATCTTAAGATTTGTGTTCCTGAGATCTTGGGACTTTGATTTATAGACTTGAATAATAACACATGGATTTCTACAAAGACAAAGAGGACTTTCCAAGGATGGTAGGCAGCTGTGAATAGGACTGATGCCCCCTATAATCACCAAGATAATTTAAAGTGAGAAAAGCAAAACGTGGAACAATATGTGTAGACTATTATCAACTGCATAAAAATCAGAATTGTTAGCCTGTATGCATTAACTATCTCTGGAAGTTTCTAGAGGAAACTAATAACAGTTTTCCCCAGAGAAGGAAACTTTATTGTCAGGAGAGGTAGAAGAACTTAATTATCAGTGTATATCCTGTATCAAGCATTATCCTGGGTACCCTTTGATTGAGACGGATGCAAAGGAAGGGAGAGGAGAGAGGAAAAGCGGGAGGGAGGGGCCATCCTTCTAGCTCCTCTAATTCTCTGTGGTGACTCCAGCACCGCGGCCTCCAGCAAGGCCTTCCTCCTTCGCTTTGCTCTTGCTCACCCTTCTTCATCTGCTGTGGATAGATGAGGACACACCCTCCCCACCCTCACAAACAGGAAATTATAGAACTTGCCTGGGCATAGAAAGTGCTCGTTATCCACCCAGCTAGAAAGGAGGGTGTAGCTGTAATAGGCACATTCTGCTGCTTTGCACTAAACAGGCCATGTTCTCCATAAACACAAATGTTGCAACCTCTTAGTTGCCAGACTTTTAGTGTATTTATAAGAGGAACGCTCAATTTAAAAACTTACATTGGATAACACTGTTTTGTCAAATAACATCAATTAAAACAACGCCACCCATGTCTTCTCCCAGCAGCTTTTTCATTCTTTCTAATACAGAATTTTTTTAATTCAGAGGTCTCATTCAGTGAAAGTGGGAAGGTGCTGGAGGGAGAAAGTCACTTGTGCTCAACAAGCTAAAGACACTAGGACTTTCAAAGGCCTTCTGCTCATCCATTCCCTTTCTGTCCAGTGAACACAGAACATGGCCACAGCTGCCGCCCAGCCGATCTACTCATATCGCACATGTGCAGACAAGGGAGGCTTCTCTTTTCAGGATACTAATTATCACGTCAGTTTTTCAGTAGATGGGTATCTGATATTAATTATCATTTTAATATTAGCCCATTGAACATGAAAACTTGCAGATCAAGAGACACAGCTCCTCTTTATCCTCCACCTCTGCTAAACTGAAGCACGAGAACTATCTGCTAACTAAAAAATATCTTAAAATGGTTTTCCAGAGACTACAGGTTATATTGTAGGCAACTATCAAGCTCTTAGCCAATGCTTCAAATTCCATCTCAAAACCACCTCCTTCCTGAAGACCTCGGTCACACTGCCACCACCCTGCACTCCCAGCACAGAGAGGCAAACACCCCTCTTCTGAATTCCTTAGCATCAGAGTTACGATCTGAAGACAAAGTCTATGCCCAGCTGGCCTGAAAGTTTTTGGCGCATACCGCAGTGTCTACTTCAGTGACGCGATGGCTGGGTGAATAAAGAAGCTGATTCACTGCTTGATTTATATATGTAGGTGAATTAAATAACTGACTCAAAGTGTTGATTCTACTTGCTTTTTAAGAGAAAGGGTGATTACTGCTTGTTTGTATATATACAATGTTGAAGTCCAGAATACACTTTTTAATCCACTTCTAACCCAGGACCTTAGGAGATGTATGGGCTGGACCTGTTTCTCAGGTAGTAATTAAAAATACGAAACATAACACATCCAAGGACACATAATATGGGTGAAATTCAAAAACATAACTTTCAGCAAAAGGACCCAGACACAAATAATACATATCATCTGATTGCAGTTATATATGGCACAAAAATCAGCAAAACCCTTTTAGGGAGTCAGAGGTCAAGACGGTGATTACTCTCGGTGGGGAATGGCAGTAACCGGAAGGGGAGCTAGAGGACTTCTGGGGCCTGCTAATGCCCTGCTTCTTGATTGGGACACTCAGCACACAGTTGGTGAAAATTTATCAGCGATATATTCATGATCTGTGCTCTTTCATAAATAAATATATATAATAAAAATATAATACTATGTGTGTGTGTGTGTGTTCCTATATACGCACATATATGTGTGTGTATATAAATATACATATTTATATATACATACACACACTATTTCAATTAAATCTTTTTTAAAAATCTAGGACAAGCAAAAGCTTAAAACAGTTAAATTCTTTGGCACAATCCAGATATTTTCAACTAAAATAAGAAACCAAGACGGTGTAAATAAAGCCGTTACTACTTCAAGATCACACACAAGATTTTGAAGACAGGCGGGGATCTATTCGGCGTGAGCAGGCTCCAGAAAGCAAACCTTTAGGCTCTTTATGCTCCAGATAAGGCATATTTGTTCCGTGGGTGTTGGCCTGCACGGAAGTGGGGTCAGATGACGTGGACCCGGTTCCCAGAGTTGACAAACTACTAAACTAGGAAATTGAGTTTCAAGTTTTTAATTACGGTTTAACTATAACATCCCATATTTGCTTACAATTATGAAATTTCCTTGTAAAATTAAATTTACAATACTTTCAAAACCACAATAATGGCTAAATATGGTGACGTTGAAGAAAAAACAAGGATTCCAATTCTAAATTTCATAAAATTTTAAATTTGTATTTAAGTTGTTGTAAGCTTTATATACTTGATGTAAATCGCTAAGGCCTGTATTATACTGCATGAAATTCCGTCATGGAATGGAGGTTAAGCCCATCCCTCCGCCCATTCTACAGGTGAGGGAACTGTAATTTTCATGTCTGTTTTATAACTAGCGTATCCTCTGAGCTCGGCTAAAGGCCTGGTATAAAATAAACACTCCACAGACGTGTGTAACAGGAACGAAGCGGCGTAAATTCCCCGAGATCACCCGCCCTCCCCGCTGTCTTCGGACTGAATCCGACGGGAAGGTGCGGGACCGCCGGGTGGTGAATCTGCAGTGAGCCACTCCAGACTTCCGCGCGGCGGCTGTCCTCGGGCTGCCCCGGGGTCTTCCTTTCTGCGTATTCTGGGAGCCTCACCCTCCTCGAGGGTTTACCGCACCCTCTTACTCAGAGATGAACCGCTTTTGTGTCTTCCACTTGGCGATTCCAGGTCCCCCAGGCTCTTTAAGGGGCGCGGTCGTTCTAGCCTGGGGCCCGGAGTCTCCCCGCCTGGCTTTCGGCGGATGGTGGCCATACCTGGAAGGCAGGGAGGAGAAAGCAGGACTTGAGTCACCTGGGCTCGTCTGGAGCGGGCCACCCGGGACCAGGAACTCTGTAGGCGACTTAAGGGGGCGGGATGAGAGGTCACAAGAGGGGAGCAGGGAGCGTGTCCCAGGTTCCCACCGCTCTCCAGCTGCCTAGCAGCCCTTGGACCACCCTTTGACCTTAAAACGGCTGCGGAGCGCGCCTCCTCCGCCCGGAGCGAGACCCAGCAGGCCCGGCGCTGGGCGTGCCCTCGCCTGCCCTGCCGCGCGCGGGCCTCCACCGAGCCTCTGCGGCCCGCGCAGGAGTGCACCCCTCTCGTCTCGTCTTGCCTGGGAGCCGGCGCTGCGCCTGGGCGGGAGGTCCTGGGGGATCCTCGCCCGGCGTCCGCGCACTATCCTTGCCTGCAACTGCCAGCAGAGCGGCCGCAGCCACCGTGCGCCCTCAGCGCCCGCCCCCAACTCGACCTGGGTGGCCTCTAGGGGCGCAGCCCTACACATGCGGGTCTGCGAGGCTGCACACCACAGGATCCGTGAAAGGAGGTAGGTGCCAAGGGACTAGAGCTAGAGGGGACGGAAGATCGGCTGGGAGGAGAAGCTGTAGTGGGCACGGCCGATTCCTGAAACCGCTGCCCCCTTCCTTTCTGCAGCCGCTTGCACTTAAATAGCTGTTGAGTGAAAAATAAGGTCCTTGGCGTGCGACAACCTTCTCCAGCCCTGCGTATCCCGCGGCGCAAAATACACTGTCCAGCCGCGATTGCTGCCTTCAAGGGCGCAAGGGGCAGGTTTACACCCATCCACCATGCTCCCGGGGGACCCTGAACCCTGCAGATCTGGCAAAAGGCAGGCCTTAAGAAACGCGCTCTTCTCTGATCTCCAGGAGAAGCAAGGGAGGCTATTTCCCTTATCTACCAGTCAGCTATCATCTATCTAATCAGTCTATCACCTACCTATCTTCTATCATTGTTTCTGCCTAGTTTTCTGTCTGCCTTCCTTTTTCTTTCCGCGTCCTCTCCCCACCCCACCCCCCCGCACTCCCGTATCCCACCCCCACGCCCAGTGTCTGGCTGTCTGGCTGACTTTCCTTCTTGCATTTTCTATAAAGGGAAGGAAAAGGGGGGCTTCACCCAAGGAAGGCATGTCTGCTGGTGCCTTTGCTTCTCGTTCTGGTCTCTAAGGTGCCTTTTCGCGGTTGAAGTTTGCGGCTCTACTCAACAAGCAAGAGCTTGTTGCAGATGAGAAATTCAATCAAAAATGAAGGCGCAGAAAGATAGGGAAGGAATGTGGAGAAACCAGATTGTCTAATTTTAGCTTGGATTTCCTTCTAAGGGAGCCACCATCTGTTGCCTAACTGAGAAGTGTGTCGATTGCTCAGGTTAGAAAAAGAGAAGACCTTACGTCTGATGCTCCTGAAACAGGCAGTAAGGACTCACCTTAAAGGACACCTTATTTTCTTTATGTGCAAAACATTTTTAAAAACTAAGCCTCAAATCACAGCAGTTTACAAACTGTAAAGATCTTAAAGTCAAACAGCTCAGTGCCTTGTTAGGAGTTTAACTGTGAAGGTGGTATCTTCGTAGTTTCCTCACTGGGTAAGATTACATGAGTCGAAATGCTTAGTAAAGGCTACTGAGAGTTTAGCTTATGTGGTCTTAAGGGTTATACTTCATTTTGGTGTTGCAACAATATCAAGGATGTGTCCCAGTGTGGTGCTTAAGAATTTAAAGTCAGAAAGACCTGGATTCTGTCTGAGCTGTACCATCTAACTTGCTTTGTGATTTCCGGCAAGTTGCCCGTCCTCTCTAAGCCTGAGTTTCCTCCTTTTTAAATGGGATTGCTGAGAGGATGGAGACAACACAGGAACAGTGGTTAACACCCAATAAGAGTACATCACCTAATAAGTGCATAATAAACAATACTTGAGGCTGCCGATGACGATTTGAGTAGTTAAGCCCAATATACTCATTTCATGGGCACTGCCCGAGTGAGGGGTCTCTGTGTGCACGTATGTTCATGGGAAGAACAAGCGTTATATCACTGGTATCCTTCTGGTTATAAAACGTTACAAGCTACTTCTGAACCTTTGAATTGATTCAAACAAATAAAATCTGTCCTGTGCCTCTTCAGATTTGCATGTTTGTCTATTTTGTGTATTTCAAGATACTCTGAGGCTTACCGTTATGAACAGTTTCAAATGCACACAAAGCTGGTGTGATCCTGGTGGATTGATTATTGCTTATTATTAAAAATAGTGTTCCTCAGATGTCACTACAGTCCCTGGCTTAATCTTGATTTGGGTAGGTTGTGGGGAGGAACTGAGCCCTAGAGCTAAGGTTTCACTGAGCTGTTTCAACGCAAAAGTGTGAACCACAGACCAGCATCGCCTGGAGCTTGTGATGAATGCTCTGGGTCTCCACCTCATGAAAACCTGCTGAATAGAACCTGAATGTTAATAAGATCCACAGGGGATGTGGGGGCACTTTCCGTTTGATCAGCCCTTTCTTAGGTTTGAGGGCACTGATGTTTCTTTAAAATGCGCCTTACGAAAACATGGATTTCTTGTAAGCTGTCTTAGTGGAGATTTGTTATCAACTTAAATGACTGATTTTTATTTTAAGTCTTTAAATAGCCAGGAGAGAGACATTATCATTTGCTTTCTGTTTAAAAGTAACAGAGAGTTGATATTTTATTGGGTTGGCCAAAAAAAATCATATGGTTTTTTCCATAAAATAAAAGACACATGTCTCATCTTCACCAATAACTTTATTGATTTGGATATTTTGAGTGTATCTCCCGCATGGTATAACATTGATTGTTCTCAATGTCTGGATTTGATCGCTGTCAACTTCAGCTGGTCTACCTGACCGGAGCATCATCCAGCAAGAAATCTCCAGCACAGAACTTTGCAAACCACTTTTGACACTTTAGATCAGTCACAGCACCTTCTCCACACACTACACAAATCTTTGTTGGTGTTTCAGTTACATTTTTACCTTTATTAAAATAATAAATGTTGGCATAATATGCCAAAAATGTTGCAAATTTTCTTCCATCTCTAATATTAAAATGGTACACAAAAATTCACCAATTTTGATGTTTTTTAAATGACACTGATATGACAGTTGTCACAATAAAATCAAACAAAATTGTTTCAAATGAAGTTAAAGACAATGAAGCACTACTAGCACCATCGTACGGAAAAAAACCAAACGAACAACAACAAAAAAAAAAGAAACGAATGAACTTTTTGGCCAACCCTTCAGTTCTGCTAGGTTTGGGTTGCAGTGTTCCTACTACCCTCTAAGACATTTCCATTTTGATACTACTTAGCTGAAATAGACACTATTTTGCTATATTTTTAGTTTTTGAATTTTTATACCAGAATATGTCACTAACATTTATAGGAAGAATATATGAATACATATGTATTAGACTTAAAGAATTTAATGACATCCTTTTTTAGGATCAACTTTATTGAGATATAATTTTCATACATCAAAACGCATCCAATGTTACACTTAAAATCTATTTTATTGTATATGAATTATATACTTCAGTAAAGTTGATTTTTAAAAAAAGTATCATTAAGGATTGCTATGATTTGTTGCCTGTTGCTAGAATAGCTCAGAGAAGGTCGAGAAAAGTCAATAGAGAGGGAAGATTGAAGATCGACACATTGGGCAGGCATGGAAAATAAATAGCCCAGTGGTCCTGGGAGAAAGAAAGGATAAATTTAGAAGGCTTGAGACCATTTGTACAAGACTTTTTGTCTTTAAAATTAAGAAGCTGAATTTAATATGTAGGGATCTGAGAACCCTGCAGATTTTTTCAAGAGGAAACTAAAAAACGGGGGAAAAAAACACTTTGCTCTGAAGGGTCTCCTCATGTCTGATCTATGTCTGCCTTTTCCTGCAGCAGACACCAACACTGGCCACGATGCTGTCAGCCAATGACTTTGCATCTGGTTCTTGGGAGCTCGTGGTCCAAGTGGATCATCCAAGTAAAGAGAAGGACAAAGACGTGCCACTGAGAGTGTCCGGAGACCTGCATATTGGGGGAGTGATGCTCAAGTTAGTAGAAAAGATGAGTAAGTTTCCGTTCTGTTACGGTGTCTCTGTATTTGAAACCCTCTCTGTTGCATCACCACTGATCTAGGTTGTCCGACCACCTAAGTTTTTCTGACCACTTACCTTGTGATGGCCCAGAGAGCAGGCACCCTCCCTACCAAGAAGAAGAGAAACAGGGGCCTCTGCAAGACCCTTAGACTGATCCTCCCAAAACGACCCTTATAAAATCTTGAGTTGTCAGTGACCAGCTAAAGCTTTGTAGTAGTTATAATGCCGTATTTCCACAAGAAGGTGCTCATTCCACTGCTGACATCTAGGGTGACCTTAGACTATTTCTAAGGCGTTGAACTACTGTGTCAATTCTCTGCTAATGCTTGTTTGCTCAGTGAATAAATCAGCTTGGGGCCAATGTGCCCTCTAACACTTCTCCATTCACTGTGCTCCCTGTTTAAGCAAAGGAAGAGATCTCTTCAGGATCAGAGTTTCGCATTAGGAGTCAACACAATCAACCAAGAGTTTAGTAACATTCTATTTGCTTGTATTTATTTTTATCTTCTAAGGTCATAGATGTTGGCTTTCCATTGATACTAGACAAATGAAGCACCTTTTCCCTCTTTTTTTTAATTGTTGTTCAAGTATAAAATAAAGCTTTTCTGAAGCAAGTCTTCATTAAAGTATAATATACATATAGAAACTTATCTTAAGTGTAAAATTCAGTGATTTTTTCAAGGTCACATAACCATCACCCAGATCAGGAAACAGAACATTACGTCTTCCTCCACCAAAGCCCCACACTGGACCCCTCCCAGTCACTGCCCCACTGAGGTTACCCACTGTCCTGAATCCCAGTACCACAGGAATAATTGAACTTGTTTGGGACTGTATGTAAGTGGAATTATACAGAATATAATCTTATACATCTGCTTTCTTTCACTCAATATTGTGTCTGTGAGATTTATCCTTACTAAGATTTGTAAATCTGTGAGACTTATAGTACTTCCGTGTGAACTGTGATTGGGAGCTATGGATAGTCCCTCATTATCCAACAGTTCAAGGATACATTTCTATTAGAGAAATTGTCTTGATTAAACAAAGCCACAAGCTCCTGGCCTTCCCAGAAAGGACCATGGCACTAAGAGATTCAAGGAAGAGAACTTTAGCATTTCAATATGAACAAAATATGTATGTTTCTGTTCCTTCCACAGTATGTAAGTATCAGTGATGGTAAGGTTCGGTCTGAGCCCTACCTGTCCTGCCTTACAGACTTGAAGAGAAGCCTAAAATTGTTGAGCCCTGGGTTATTGTAGGAGCAGAGGGCGCTCTGAAGACGTCATTTGTTTCAGTTTTTGCACACAGTGAAATTCAGTGGAGTGCTGTCCCTCTCCTTGTACTTCCCTGTGTTTTCTGTTTTTGCAGAAATAGCTCAAGACTGGTCAGACTTTGCCCTTTGGTGGGAACAGAAGCGATGCTGGCTCCTGAAAACACACTGGACCCTGGACAAATATGGGGTACAGGCAGACGCAAAGCTCCTCTTCACCCCTCAGCATAAAATGCTTCGCCTCCGCCTGCCAAACATGAAGACCGTGAGGTTGCGAGTCAGCTTCTCGGACGTGGTTTTTAAAGCCGTCAGTGATGTCTGCAAAACCCTGAGTGAGTACCCTGGAGGGGCCCCCCCGTGCCCTTTGGACTTTTAGCAAAGGAGGGCAGGAAAATGCTGTGTGCTTTCTGCCTACCTCAAGCAGTTGGCTTTACAGAGGACTGCCTGGATTAGGAAGCACACTTTTCAAGCCCAGTTCTGAGGAATTGAGCCATTTAAGTGCAGTTAAACCAAATGGGACATTATTAAGATAACACAGATTTATTTCCACAAAGCTTAAAACTATTTCAGCCCTGACTGGTGTGGTTCAGAGGGCTGAGTGTACTCCCACAAAGCGAAAAGTCACCAGTTCAATTCCTGGTCAGGGCACGTGCCTGGGTTGCAGGTTCAGTCCCCGGTTGGGGCATGTAGGAGAGGCAATGGATCGATGTTTCTCTTCACATCAGTGTTTCTCTCCCTCTCTCCCTCCCTTCCCCCTCTCTAAAAATAAATAAGTGAAATCTTTTAAAAAATATTTTGAAAGACAGTTATAAACAGAAAAAACAAACCCATTATGATCTCCCCCAAATTCACTTCTCTAAGCCATAGTAAGTCATCATTATATTTGAGACAAACAGAAAAAGAGTTCTATTGAATCGTTATTGCCATGGAGCCAGTGTGTCTTTATGTCTTTGAGAGACTGGTGCAGCGGTGCCTTCATTGCTCCACTAACACTTGGCTCCAATAAATACATAGCCTTATCCACAAAAATTCTTTGTGGAGTTTACTTTAAGCAGAAAAGTACACTTAATGATGGATTGAAACTAATTCCTACGGGCTGGTGTCCATGAGTTTAACACCCATTAAGGACAGTATCATCACCCAAACCCTTTCTTTCTTTGGGGACTTCTATAGTGGGAGCAAACCCTGCATTGTGAAGGTACTTTTATTTTATATTTTTAGAAAGTGTGTAGGTATATCCTTTGGTTCCAAGGCTAAGATTCAGCATTTGAACACAGTATATACTATAGATAAGCGAGTGAGCTGTCTCCCCCATTAAACTATAAACTGCTTGTTCACTCCTTCAGCAAATATGTATTGATGAGGCAAGCACTGTGGTGAATGCTAGGCATTTGTTAGTAATAAAAAATAACCCAAAGTCTTATCCTTCCTTGAGCTTACATTCTAGCATACAGAGACAGAAAATAAATAATAAATATAAACAATAATATGTTAAAAGGAGTGCCAGTATTGGACATTGGAGGCTGGTACAGTATTAAATAGGGCAAAGACAGAAACCATTTCTTGAGCACGCCCAGCATGATGCCTGGCACATATTAGCTGCTTAATAACTGCTGAATGACAAATGAATGGAACCTTCCATTATGGAATATAAACTCTATAGTGTCCCTGATACATGGTGAGCAAATGGAGAACACCAGTCCCTTGTTTTCAAATAATAGTCTAATGAGAATTTGAAAAGCATTTCTTTTTTGAGGGGCTTAATAAATGATTAAATTACATCATGTACTGTATACACCACAGAGAACTGGGAGCACACATCATAGCTGGGAGCAAAAACTTGAGGCATAGAAATAAACAGAAACAGCCCTCGCTGGTGTGACTCAATGGATTGAGCACCGGCCTGCAAACCGAAGGGTCACCAGTTTGATTCCAATCAGGGCACATGCCTGGGTTGTGGGCCACGTCCCCAGTAGGGGGTGCATGAGAGGTAACCATACACTGATGATTCTCCCCCTTTTTTCTCCCTCTATCCACCTCTCTCTAAAAACAAATAAATAAAATCTTTTTTTAAAAAAAATAAATGAAAGCAGTCAGATGTTCTTGTCTTTTCCACATTTTATCTTCATAGGAGTTCTAAAAGGCTCAGCCTGGCATTTCTACTAATTGCTCTTTATATCTGATTACTTGGAGCTAGATCAAATTTAGCAGTATGATGGTTTTTTTCCTTCAGGAAAAACAAAACACAAATCTTAGGCTTGGAGGTAGGGTATTTTTTGTTGTTGTTTTGGTGTTTTGTTTTGTTTTGAATGCTTCCAAGAGGACATTTTGATTCATCTCTAGGTTTTGTGTATAAATTAGGCATTTGAAATGGTCATGGGTGCATGCTGCATCCTGACAATCAGACATCCTCGATTACTGGGGAGAGAATCCAGCTGAACTACCAGCCTCAGTCTCAGCACAAAGCAGTGTTTGAACTGAGAAGGGGTGGGCCTATGAGATCAGTGTGCTGCCCTCTGGGACAGCTGCCCAGAGACTCTCACGTCACATTCCTTGGCTTTTACCTGGGATCAGAGCAGCTCAGTGCAGTTAATGATTTGGCAATGATAGATACATTTGATTCATGGAGGGAAATGGAGATTCTCTTCCGAGAGTTCTCCAGAAGCAGACCCTGAGATAAGGAATCAAGTACAAATATCCATTTACTTGGGAGGCGATACCTGAAACACTGGCTAAGAATGGGGATGTGAGACTGGGCAGACGAGGCCACCAATAAGAGATTGCCACCCATCAGGTCACACTTCGGGCACCTGGGGACCACTGGGAGATAGTGCAGACATACCTCTGAGCCACCCCACCCAAAGGGCAAGGGAGCTGGGGTGTTAATATGATGTGGACCCTGTCTCATGGGGTCTGCCACATTGCAGATGAGACACGAGACAAATTCACACAGCCTACCAGGTCCGGTGGAGGAAAAGTGACAGCATGGATTTTCTCTCAAGAGGAGCAAAAGCCACGTCCTCTGCCATAACAGGCCTTTATTTCTTTTCTGGGCATATTACATGATGGTCCTCATTTACTGTGCACAGGTTCATTTTAGGTGGTTACCTTTTACAGAAAACAAAGGAGACAATGCCACTAATCACATCACAGAAGGATATTTGCAAATGCAAAGGGAAAAGTGGTTGAACCAGTTACACTCATCCTCAGAAGGTTTGGCATGGATTTTAGGAAGTTACTTGGAGGCAGTAAATGTTTGTTGCCTCAATTCAGGGTGAGGGAGTTTTAGCAAAAGCAAGCCTCAAAGCAACCTAGGTACATTGCAGGCCTGATTCCCCATGGGAGAACCTATCCGTGGGCATGGGTCCTGTGCATCTCCAAGTGGGAGCTGGGCCCACGCCATGCAGAATTGTCTCCTACATTAATACACCACTCACCAGTCACTGAGGGCCGCTCTTGGGCAGTATTAATGCTCTGAACTTGTGTGGCCTGTTGCTTAGGTATCTGGTCAGTATAGACCCTGGCATTCAGAGCAAGCCCTCAGGCCAAGAGATAAATGTCCTAGCTGCCATTGGTTGTCAAGTCAGTGCACTGAAATGGCAAGGGCCAAGAAGGGAGGGGCAGGGTGGCAGTGATGGCTGCCACAGGGAGGAAAGTAGCTACTGGGCATCATTTAAGAAAAACACTCTAAGGATCCCTGGTCCATAAAGAAAATAGGTGAGGTCCTTGACTGTTCTTTAAAAAAGTTAAATTAAAAAAAAAAAAGAGGGGGTGGGGAGAGATAGGGAAGGCAGGAGGGAGAAAGAAAGGGAGGAAAGAAGGACGGGAGAAAAGGAAGGAGGGAGGGGAAATTAGTAGCAAGTAGGTGACAAAAGAAGAGTCAAGTTCTGGTAGTGGTTTGAGGCTGGGTGATGAGCCCAGGGAGGGGCCATTGTACTGTTCCCTTTGCTTTAGATATGTTTGAAACATTTCCACAATAAATTAAAAAACACTAGAATTTTAACAGACTGAATCTCTTCCATTATTTGACCCCCACACCCCTCCACTGGGGGTGTCTCTGTTCCCCTCCTATTTCTTCAAAAAGGAGTGCAATTTAGTTCCATTTACTTCTCAGGAATTTTATGAGAAATGGTTTCAAATACCCAACGTGACTCTGAGTCTTAGAAGGAATTTTCTTCTTGCTTTTTAATGTTCTTCTTTCTTTGTTATATTTATTTATTAGATATTAGAAGATCGGAAGAACTTTCCTTGTTAAAGCCTTCTGGTGACTATTTTAAAAAGAAGAAAAAAAAAGACAAGAATAATAAGGAGCCCATAGTTGAAGACATTTTAAACCTGGAGAGTTCTCCAACAATCTCAGGGCCACCAGGTGAGATTTATGACAGGTTCCCTGTTGTTTTAATTCATTCTTAAAGCCAAGAGTTTCTTAAATTTTTAAATCCAAGGAACTCTCCTCTGCTCTGTCTTTCCTCTCCTTCCCTCCCCTCTCTAACACAAAGAAGGAGGACTAAAACTGCACAACTCCTATCTATGATGAGGAAAGGATACCCAAATAATTTCAGAACAGAAATTTTTTCGACAAGATATGTTTTATAGCTTATTATTTTAATTGCATGCATTATGTTCCTGATGAGTTAAAAACCTGAGTAGAACTTGCCATGAATTTGAAGGGAAAAATAGATTACTTGGATCACTCAAATATACTTCTGTTCTCCTGGTTCTATCCTCATGTGGCTCTTATGAATTCAGTTTAAAGTTTGCACTGGGCGTGTAACAGGAGAACAGGTAAAAACTCTAGAAAGGCATAATCCTTTTCTTTTTATATAAAAATATAAAAAGCTAGTTTGCTTGCAACATTTGATATACTTTCAATATACTTGCACAGTATATTCCAGTGCAAAGGTAAAAGGAATTATTTATATCTTTCTAATGCAAATTAAAGCTAGATAATATATAAACCACAGGTGGCAAACACAAGGCCCACGGGCCAAATCCGGCCCTCCACCTTGTTTTATCAGACTCAGCACCTTGTTCCTGCCTAGGGGCAGCACTGAGCTCCTTGCCTCTAGTTAAGGAGTAGTTACATTTATATAGTCCTAAAGTTATATTCAGCCCTTTGAAGGCACTGTGAGACTGATGTGGCCCCCAGTGAAAATAAGTTTGACACCCCTGATATAAACCATCAATGAGATGGTTTCTTAAAATTGACAAATACTCTTTCTTTAAAGAATTTGCCCAAAATATAGTCTGTCCATACATTCTGTGAGATTTCCAGTTCTCTAACAGTGTAAAAACTCATTGCTAACAGAAAAGAATTTTGAACTGCTGGGAAGGAGACAGTCCACAGCATTTGTCTGGATTGATTCTGGAAGCTTTTACAGCCTACCAGGTTCCAGATCTTCAGCAGCTAAACGTTCAGGGAAGAGTTTAACCTGCGCATAACTTTCCTACCCATCAGTCATGACTCGTCTGATTATTTCAAACGGTACAAACATCTAAATTCAAAATTTATTTGAGTGTCCGCAATGTTAGGACTTATTTTCCAAAGAAAGCAGCACCTGCCCCCTGAACATCATACCCTCACGTGCTCCCCTTTGCTTTCCAGTAAGTCCTGGCTTGTACAGCAAAATGATGACTCCCACCTACAACCCCGTCAACGGATCGCCGGTGTCATCCACCCTGACTTGGTTCAGTGACAGCTCTTTGACGGAACAAAACTGCGGCATCCTTGCATTCAGCCAACCACCCCAGTCACCAGAGGTGCTGGCTGATATGTACCAATCTCTGTCTCTGGTCGATAAAGCCAAGCTTAATGCAGGGTAAGGATGTGGCTTGTTTTGCTTCTCTGTGAACTGATACTGAAGTAATAAAAGAGATGCTGCAGAAAAGGGGGAGGGGCTAATTTTTAAGTCAGGATGCCTGGGGATTGTACACTGTTAGCAAAAGTCAGTACTGATTTTAGCAACAAAGAGGAAAAATGCAGCCTTTGGGCATTTCAAAACATATAAAAGCATGACAACATTTTTGTGCTTGGGTATCCCAATGGTTCACTATATATGAATACTAATTCTTGCCCCTGCAGGTGTGCAGAGTGTATTTGATGGGATGTGAGCAGTTTGTAAGTGGGCTGGTCCCCGTGGGTCTGGGGGAGACCCACATGGCCCACCTGCCCACACTGTCTTGTAGAGCACCACTTCTCTCTGTAGGCCTTCAAACAGGCAAGCCCTTCAGCTTTGCGATGGCCTCAGAACATACACTCAAACTATTTATCAAACCACCAGTTCTTTTCAGTCCCCGCTGTTCACCAGATAAATTCAGTTTGTGATATCTGGCCCCAGTGGCTCTCTCTGTCCTGCTGTTCTCATGCACCCTGTCCCCCAGTGGGGCACACGGACTCTTTTGGTCGCTGCCTGGCTTCCACATTTTCCTCTGCCCAGGACTCTTCTCCTTTCCTCCTGCTCTACTGGTCAGTCCCTGCTTGTCCTTTAATACCCAGTCATGTACTCCCTCCTTTGTAGGAGTCACCATTCAAGATCGGTCACTCTCTGTAGTTCTGTTCCCACAGTTGGCTGGCTCCAGTGTTGCCTTGTTCCTTTATTATAAGGGTTGGTCTCCACTACTGGACTGTGAAATCCTTTAGGGTGGAGGTTGCACCTTGGGGCTAATATACTAGAAGTTCAAGCCTCTTTCATTCAGCAGTCCTAGATGACACTGGTTTTGTCAACTTTTAGTCTCCATCCTTCCGCTTCTCACCACTATCCAATGTTTTATTTTTCAATTCTAGGACTGTACGTTCCTATATAAGAGCCACTGGCCGTGTGTCGATATTTATCTCCAAATCTGAATTTAATTTAATTAATTAAAATTAAACATTTGGCTAATGGCTACTCTATTGGATAAGGCCATATAGACTATCATGGTAATTACAGAAAATTCTAGACAATAAGATAGAGCCAGCTTTGGGTTGGACCCCCTGGTGTGGAGGAGAGGCTGTGGGAGTAATCAGCAAGTACAGATTCTCATTCTGGCTCCACCACGAGGCACATGACCTTGAACATGTCACTTAATGTCACTGAGACTCTGTTTTATCACCTATAATGCAGAGAAAATAAAAACCACTCTGGCTCCTTCACTGGGTTAGTTTAAAGTGTCAATGAGGAAAAAAAAAATATATATATATATACACACATATATACACACACACACACGGCACTGGGAAAGCCATAATATAAAATATAGGTATAAGCTATTCTCAAGCCCTCTACTGGTTTTTGGTCATATTACTTACTCAGACTTTGTTCAAGGAGGTATGTATGCCTGTATGTATGTCAATAGTATAAACATATACAACATTCATGTGGTGTGATACATTTTATTATATAACATACTGTGTAACATATATAACATGTAGACATATTGTGCAGTACTGTAATACATGTGTATGAAACTGATCGACTGTTGTAACTCATCCTGTTGTTTTTTAGCTGGCTAGACTCCTCGCGTTCCCTCATGGAACAAGGCATCCAGGAGGATGAGCAGCTGCTGTTACGATTTAAATACTACACTTTCTTTGACTTAAATCCCAAAGTAAGATACTCTTTCTCTATTCTCCCTTTTTTAAAATGTGAATCCATGGAAGTGTGCAGTTGAGTCATTTAGTCATCAAAGTTAGGGTTAATATGGGTGGGTGGGCTGGAATGGGAGTTAAGGACAGAAAAATGTACTTGAACAATGATTAAAATAAAATTTAAAAAAAAGTTAGGGTTAATTTGTGGAATCTTCTGTTTAGCTCTTCAGAGTTAGATGGGTAAATGGATTCTGGTCTCTGATTTTCATCTTTTGGGTTCCAGCAAGCATGATCAGCTGCCCCTAAGTGAGTGGGAGTTTCTAGGGTCTTTGTGTCCAGCAAGGTGCATGGGCACCATTCACAGGAATGAAGGAACGAGAAGGGAGCGGCTCATGGAGCGAGAGTCCTTAGTGCTTAGGAAGGGAGGCATGGTCAGGACCCAGGTTAAGAGCAGGGTCCTTATGAATAAACCAGGACCCCATGATGGCGCACAGCAGACTCCCCGTGGCAACACTGAAAAGTCTCTGGAAATGGGAAAGAGGGATCATCTATGTAAACAAAGACCCAGACAGTTGCTAGGTCCCATTGGAAGTTCATGTCCCCCACTTGAAGTTTACTGGGACAACTGGGTGGTGAAATAAGTCCTGTGAACTCCAGGCTCTCCCTGCCCCTGATTTGCCCTTTTCTACAGTTGTGAGTCAGCAGATAAATGGCCAAATGTAGAAAATGTGCATGGGTCACTGCTTCTCCCGTGCACACAGTGCTTTCATTGTATTGTTCCACTCCAGTTTCGTGCTCGGTGTTCCGTGACTTACTGCTGGTTGTGGGTTTGACGCGCCTGCTTCCGGCCACCTATTCTGCACAGACCGTTCTCCACCCACTGCAGGGTTACTGCCTTTTGTAGCACTGTCTTCTCCTCTGCTCTGGCTTTAGGTCTGGTCTTCAAAGGCCATCGTGGCTCCCACTGCTTCCCTTACACATCTTCTTCAAAATAAGCTTTATTCCTTGTCATTCCTGTGCAGCTCCTGCTCAGTCTTTGATTTCGATCCAGCTTCATGCCCATGGGCCTAGCTTGTGTCTGGGGTCTATACCTTTCAGTGAAACCCAGCAAAAGAGCAATTTGGGGCTCTCCTTTGGGAAAACCCTCAGGAGAAATTACTGTTAAATAATACCCTTCTCTTAAATAATAGTCTTTATGTTTTTAAGGGCACTGTGAATTATGTAACTGCCCAGGTTTCCTTTTTGTTTTTTGCATTGTCTGCTAGAACCAAATGTGTACATTTTCTGTGATTTTATTTATGAAGACTCATTACTAACTCAACTTTACTCTTTCTTTGCTTAATTCCTAGTAAATTCAAGCTATCTTGTTATATGCTATATATTCTTTTTTCACATATAGTTAACATTCAATATTATTTTACATTAGTTTCAGTTGTACCACATAGTGGTTAGACATTTACATAATTTATTGAGTGTTTCCCCCGATAAGTCTAGAACCCACCTGGGACCATACATAGTTATTACAGCATGACTATGTATTCTGATAAATGCCTTACATCTTTTTTTTCTGAAACTAGATAATCCATAAGTAAAACATACTCAAGAACTGTCTAATTGCTAAGTAATTTGGCTTTATAGTATCTATTTTAACTTGTACTCCTGTTTGTTTGTTTATTGAGCAACTGCTGTGTGTCAGAAACTAATCTAGTGTCTGAGAACCCAAACCTGCTAGATGTTAGAATAAGGTTTTCAATTTAATGAACTAAAGTGCATAGGGTTACAAAATGAAACAGTTATATTGAACTATGGTAACCAAAATACTTTTCAAAATGAAAATTTTATGCCTGGCAAAAAATTATAAACAAAGAAAACAATCTTTGCAACACAGACTATAAACAGAAAGCTAATTTCTGCTAATATATAAAGAACTCCTACATATCAATAATAAAAAGACCAACAATCCAGTAGGCTAATGAGCAAAAGATGTGAACACATCCTTTGGAAAGAGTTAATAGGAAAAAAACTATAATAGCTTCTTTCCTATTAGAAGAATAGGAAATTTTCCTATTAGAAGAAGAATACAATAGCCTTATATTAGCAAATATCAAAAAGTTTCATACACCATCTTAGCAAGACTGAGAAAACAGGCTGTCTCATATACTGCTTACAGGTCAAAGTACAAATTAATCTAGCTTCTATGGAAGGCAATTTAGCGATATCTACAGTTCAGAATTACAATTCTACATAGCTTTGGCCCAGCAAATTCACCCCTTGGTATTTATAGCACTGTTACACTCATACATGGGAATTGATATCTCTGTACACAAGAACAGCTATTACTATATTGCTGGCTTTAGGAAAATATTGGAAACCACCTAAACATCCATCAATGAGGAACTAGTTACATACATTATGGTACATCCATACAGCGGTGTTGTTAAGAAGAATGAACCAGCCTTCTTTTGTGTGGAACATATTCAGGGTACATTATTGAATAAAAGACAGCAAGGTACAAAGGAGTCCAGAAAGAAACTACTATTCATATGGAACAAAGAAGGGAGAAAGACTAACCTTTTGTACCCTTAGAATTCATTCAAAATAAATTCCTTCATTATATACTCTTTTGCCCCATTTAAATGCATTCAAAATGTGAATTAAAAATTTATAACTCCAGTAGTTCATAGTATTTTTCAAATGTTCGCCAAGGAAAAGGCACATCAGTTTTAAGAAGAGGCCTGGAGGACACTGAAAGTGCTACCCAGCTAATGGAGAGTCTTAAGTGATTAGATCTAAATAGTAGCCCTTGAGAGCATGAACACTTTGGGAGGTGGGCCTTGTTATTAGTTTGCATCTTTGGTTGGTGGGAGGGGTGATGGGGAGAAACAGGGGCTCAGGAGGTGGCAGGGGCCATGCACTTCTAGCCTGGGGTTTTCCGTTTTCAATGAGCCAGGAGAAGGAAGGCTCGGGCCAAGGAGAGGGCGGGAGCAGCCAGTCTTCACCAAGAGAGCAGTTTGCTTCTAAGTCACTGAAACCTCTGAAGAGTTCTCAGAGAGATAAAAACCTATCAGGATGCCTGTTGATGACTGACCTGTGAAAGACCCAGGACTCTGTGATGTCCCAGAGCCTCCGTGGCAATGTGGACAAGCCTCCTAAGAGGAAACCCAGAGCTCTGCCAGATGCAACAGAGAAATGCAGTGCTCCTCACTGAGGGCCAGGGCGCATCCTGAATGCAGCTCTGACATTTGTAGTAGGTTCTATTCTTCTCCTAATGACAGTGTGCAAATAAATGTAGGTAACTTTTGTTTAAGCAATAGTCTTCCAAAGAATTGTTTTATTTGGCTGGGGGTGGGTGGAGTTAAGCATGTTCAGGTGTGGAAGCTTTTATTTTTAAATTGTTGGTGACTGTATTTGAGATAAAAGCCTTATTTGGTGATTTAACTTATTACTCTCACTAAAACTTCTACAGCATTACAATTGTAGCACTGTGTCTGATTGCTGGAGAGGGAGGGATGGATAAATGGGTGGGTGGGTGGATGGATGGATATACAGACAAGTAGAGAAATAGGCAGACAGTTCGGCAGAACAAACAGATAGGACAGTTTGTTGGCCCAGTTCACATTTCAGCAGCTGCACTTGCTATTTAGATCTTTGCCTTTGAACTGTGAATTAAAGGAGTGGCCTGATTTTGGAGGCTGGCAGAGAATGGTTGCATGGTGGTTTTTTGGTGTGCACTGTGTGTCTGTTTTTTTCAGTTGTCATATCTTTTGGTCACAGTCTAATTTACATGATAAACTCACCCACTGCAAGTGCGTAATACAATGATTTTTAGTAGACTTATGTAGTTGTGCAGCCATCATCACAATCCAGTTTTAAATCGCTTGCATCAGCCAGAAACCTTTCCTCACGCCCATTTGTGGTCAGTCCCTGCCCCCAGCCACAGCCCTACCTGCAACTGGTCTGCTTTCTGTACAAGTTTTGTCTTTTCCAGAAATTTCATACAGATGGAATCATGTGGTGTGAGATCTTTTTCGGGATTCTTTTACTTGGCATTATGTTGTTTTAGATTTATCTGTGTTGTGTGTGTCAGCGGTGCATTCCTTTTTGCTGCTGAGTGGCGTTCCGTTGTGTGGAGGGACCACGTTTTCTTTAAGGGTGAACCAGTTGGGGGATGTTGGCTTGTTTCCAGTTTGGGGCTATTATGAAGAATGCTACTGTGATTGTTCTCACATGTGTTGCGTTTTGATTTATTTGGAGAGGATTCTGGGGCTAACTCCTAAGGTGTTCGATGACACCTGGCAAACTTCACAAAACCAGGACAGACATTCTTAAGATTCTTCTTATCCCAGCCTGCTGAGTCCCACCCCCTGGATCTGCATAGTCTCCCTGTCCGGAAAGAAGCATGCCTGTCTAGAGGGTCCCATTTCCCGATTACCCGATAGCCACGCTCTGCTGATTCGGGCTGACTGTGGACTTTCACGTTCCCTATCACCTTTTTCCTTAGTGTGCATGAGGTTCATGCAAAAGGAAAAATGAATGCTAATCAACCTGTGATAAATCTGTTTAGGTACTCTTATCTTTCTATTCCTTTTCCATGTTTTCTTTAACATTTTAATTTTTTAAAGGATATCATAAAATGTGTACTCAGGGTCAAAAAAAAAAAAAAAAGGAAAGAAAACCAGACATGGGAGTCACTGTTCAACAGGTACAGAGTTTCATTTTTGCGAGATGAAAAATTCTGTGGAATGCCACTGAACTGTATACGTAAAAACAGTTATGGGAAATTTTATCACAATATTTTTGAAAAGTTTTAAATCAAACATAAAAAGGAATTCTTTAGAGTTAAAATGGAAAACAGTCCCTTACCGTGAACTTTCTCCCAAGAGGCAGCCACAGTTAACAGCTTGATGGCTAACAATACTTGCAGACTTTTTTAAATATAGTTTTAAAACTTTTTAAACAGATTTTCAGGATCTTTTTCCCCTCCATAAATGGGATTATGTCTTTGCTCTGTAGCTGGCTTCTTTTTACTTCAGAATATATCATGGCCACCTTTCCATGTCAGCGTATATATGTCTGACTCACTTTTTTAAACCACTACAAAATAATGAAAAGAAAGGTTAAACCAGGGCCCTGGGTTCCTTGCAACTTTTCCTCTCTCAAAAACTGTGGTGAACCTTTGTACGCCAGTGTCTTTGATGAGTGCATGCCTTTCTTTAGAATAGGAACCATAGATGTGCTCATCAAAGGGCAAAAGACATTAGAAGATACCCCTAAACTGCCTTCCTACTGGCCTCATAGGTGAAGGGGCCAATCGCACCCCATCCTCTCCAATGCCGGACCTGATGGATCCTGACAACTTCGGGTGAACCTGATAGGAAATAGAAACTCTTGTCATCTTTTTTTTTAATTTGAATTCTCTGATATTGGTGAGGGTGAGCATGTTTTCCAATGTTTATATGGCCATTTGGTTTCTTCTATGAATTGCTTATTTATATATTGACTCCATTTTTTATTGAATTACTTGTATTTCTCATATTGACTCATAGGAGCACTTTGTATGTCCTGGATATTATCTTTTCTATTTTTTGTAAATATTTTCTTCCAGACTCTGTCTGACCTTATAAAAGCATTATCTCCTTTAGGGTATTTTCACCATTAAAAATGTTTAATTTTCTATTGTCAAGTCAGTCTTATGCATCATAACTTCTACACTCCCTGGCTTGCTTAGAAAAGCTTCCTCATTCAAAGATTACAAAAGTATGTTCCCTTTATGTTTCCTTCTAATAGTTTTCATTGTTAAGTTTAGACTTCTTATAAATTTTTTGAGATATAATTCATATTCCGTACATTTCACCCATTTACTACATGCAAGTGAATGGTTTTTAGTATATTTGCAAAGCTGAGAAACTGTCACCACTATCTAGTTACAAAACATTTTCATCATCCTAACAAAAAATTCATTATCCATTAGGAGTCACTCCCCATTCCCTCTAACCCTCCCAGCCCTAGGCAACCATCAGTCTTCATAGATTTGCCGATCCTGGGCATTTCGTATGAATGGAATTATTCAATTTGTGGTACTTTGTGACCAGTTTCTTTCACTTAACATAATATTTTCAAGATCCATCCATGTATTACCATGTGTCAGTATTTCATTTCTTTTTATCATAAAATAATATCCCATTGTATGTATATACCATATTTTGTTTATTCATCAGTTCATGGACACTTGGATTGTTTTGATGGACATTGGGGCTATTGTGAATAATGCTGCTATGAACATTCATGTACAAGTTTGGGGGAGTGGTTCTTTGACTTTTTTAAGTGGCAGTAAAAACATACATAACATTGGCCATTTTAACCAGTTTTAGGTTCACAATTCAGTGGCATTAAGTACATTCACAATGTTATGCAACTATCACACCACTGTCCACTTACAGAACATTTTCATCATCCTACACAGGAACTCTGTACCCATTAAACAGTAACTGCATTAACCCCCTCCTCCAGCCCCTTACAACTCTGTTCTACTTCCTGTCTCTGTGACTTAGCCTATTCTAGGTACTTCGTATAAGTGGAATGATACAATATTTGCTCTTTTGTGTCTGGCTTATTTCACTTAGCATAATGTCTTATATGTTGTAACATGTATGAGAATTTCATTCCTTCTTAAGGCTGGATAACATCCTGTTGTATGTATATACTGCATTTTGTTTATTCATTCACCCATTTATGGGCATTGGGTTGTTTCTACCTTTTGGTTATTGTGAATAATGCTGCAGTGAACATTGGTGTACAATTATCTGTCTGACTCCCTCTTTTTACTTTTTTTCAGTATATTCTTACAAATGGAATTGTTGGATCATATTCTATGTTTAACTTTTTGAGGAACTGCCAAACTGTTTCCCACAGAGGCTGCAGCATTTTATATTTCCACCAACAATGAATAAGGGTTCCAATTTTTCTACATCCTCAGTAACATTTGTTACTATCTGTCCTTTAGATTAGAGCCATCCTAGTGGGTGTGCAGTGGTATCTCATTGTGGTTTTGTGTCTTTAGATTCTTTACTCTATCTGTGATTAATATTTCTGGATGGTGAGAGATTGTTTTTTGATTTTGGGTTTTTGTTTTCCAAGTGGCCAGGCACTTTTAACACTACAGTGTTAAATTCTTTCTTTCCCTACTGATATAAAATTCCTTTTTTATATTATATTAAATTTATATATGTATATAGGTCTGTTTCTAGATATTGTGTTTGACATTTTGTCTATTGCTATACCAGTACCACACCATTTTAATTACTACAGCTTTATAATATATTTTAAAGTCTGGGAGGACAGGTGTCTTCCAAATATTGTTTCTTTTAAATGTTCTTAGTGATATTTGAACATTGTTTCTTCCAGCTTAACTTAAGAATTTGATTGTATAAAGTTTTTTTTTAAAATCCCTATCAGCTTCTGATTAGAATTGCACTGAGTTTGCAGATCATCTTGGGGAATCCCTTCTCCTTTATGTTACTTAACACATAAACAATTCTTACTATCTGTTTTCATACCAACAGGAATGTGATAACAGAGAGGGAAAATAATGGGATCTAAGATCAGTTAGTCTGGCCCCTAAAAGAAAGCCTGGGAAATATTTTGGAAAAGTTCTAAATACAGAAATAAAAAGAGCTGGGGCAGTGGAAAGCTAGAGGGTTGTTCCTTTTAGTTACCTGAAGTTCATTGCATCTGGTTAAGGAATGGCCTCAGTCATTCCAGAATTTTGTATTGGGGAATATAAATATGCCCCTTATACTCTGACACACATTCCTATTTTTTTTTCTCTAGTACGATGCTGTCCGAATAAACCAACTCTATGAACAGGCCAGGTGGGCCATTGTCTTGGAAGAAATTGACTGCACAGAGGAAGAAATGTTGATCTTTGCAGCACTACAGGTGTGGGAACTTCAGTGCCTTTTTTCTAGAAGGAGACAAAGCAAGTTTGTTCTGCTTAAGTTTTATTATACCATTTTTTTCTTTTGAAGAAAGCACTGAAAATAAGGGGGATAAATTAAATTTTTAAATGCTCCTCATAACATGTATGTAAAGCATTAGTCTTGCAATTCCTATCTCTTCCCCAGTACAAACTCAAAGAGTGATGGAAAAGAACCAAGGTAGAACACGACTAATTGTAAACCTCAGAATGATTCAGATTCAAATGTCAGTTTCTCTGCATAGGAGGGAGATCCCCATGGAAGAGGTGTTTGGTTTCATAGGGGAGCTACCCCCCAAAAAGAACTGGCTAATGAGTTCATTTGTGCTTATAACATTTCTAAAACCTGTTTTCTTTGTAGTATCACATTAGCAAACTGTCATTGTCGGCTGACATACAGGATCTTGCAAATGAGTCTGAGGTCGATGAAGTAGAAGCAGCACTTTCTAATTTGGAAGTGACCCTTGAAGGTGGAAAAGCGGACAACACTTTGGTATGTACTTTTTTGATTACTCTGAATTGTGGCTTTGTTCTGGCTGGCAAATGTAGGTGAAACTTTTTTATTAGAAATATGAGAATATTTTGTCTGAATTTGAAAAAAAAACAGGCTCATCTTCTGACAAGCTTAAACGTAGCCAGAACTGACTAGCTTTTCTCAGGTCAGCTCTGTAAGGGACTATAAGATATTTTCATTAGTACTTACGACAATGCTTTTGATTCCTGTGTCTTCTTTGGGATGAGCTGGCATAGGAGAAACACTGCTGTGAGCTCCATTTCACCACGTGGAACATGGAACCAGTGACTTAAGTCTAGAAAGAACCCCCAGTCTATTGATTGTATGGGGTAGCTGTGGGAATAGAAAAAAACACTTTACAGGTAAAAAAAAAAAAAGCCTTATTATACATTCACCTAGTCACACCTTTCCCTTGCAAAGGTTGACAGAAGTGAGGGCCTTTCTCTAGAATACCATACAAATCTCCTGAACCCTTTCCACTTCAGGAAATAAACACCTCCTCCCCGCCCCCAGTAAAACATAAAGAAATAATATGGTTTTGTCATCTTTTGCTCTTTATCCATGAAAGGTGGCTGAATGTCCACTTTATAATTGAAAGGTCCCTCCTATTTGATTCATTTGTTGGGTGCCACTCTTTTGTTTAATTTCTTTAATCATGGGAGTAGTTTAATCACATTGATTCAGAGAGGTGGATCCATTGTAATTAGACTTTTTAAAAAGTAAGAGATAAGAATGAGTCATTGTATTCTTATGTATTTAATATGTGTTCACTTATGATTAAATTCCTTAAAAAATGAAATTGGTACCATGCAAAAACAAGCACCTGAAGAAAACTAAATGCCAAGGTTCTGTAGATACTCAGAGCCCTTTCTCACGTTTGTAGGCAACACCTGCCCCGTGGAATTAGTGTCCTTTATTCCACCAGCAAACACACACAGCAGGAAACTGTTCCTTCTCGGAACAGATGAAAATCTCCCTCCTCCTGCCCTTAATATTTTTATGCCAAGCGTTTGTGATGTCAAACAATAGGCTTTTCAGTTTGAAAATAAGCACCGGCCTACACTGTAGAATGAACTTTGTACCAGATACCTTGTGAGAGTTTAATCAGTAAACTAGGTGCACCTAGAGTTACTCACTCTGGTGTACAAGTTGTAAAATAATTTTGTTTGTACATAAAAGTAGTTGTTCCTAACTCAAATGTTTAACTTGAATGGTAGTATAGTGAGTGCTTGGTCAAAATTTTAACCTTTTTCTTATTTGTATGATATATGACATGTACAGAAAAGTAAAAAAAAGAACAAAAATTATTTTACTCATATGTGGAATTTAATGAACAAACTGAACTAACACACAAAACAGAGACAGACTTGGAAAGAGCAGGCTGACAGCTGGGGGTGGCATGGGGGTTTAAGGGGCAGAGGAATGAGCCGAACAAAAACAAAAGGATAAAGGACTCATGGACATGGGCAGCAGTGTAGTGATTATGGGGGGTGGGGGTGGGTGGAGGTAGAAGAGCATATAAAGGGGATAAATCGTCATGGAAAAAATACAACAAAAATTTTTTAATGTACAACCTAACAAATTAGTATTAAATTATCAGCCAACTCACCACCCAAATCAAGAAACAGAACTTTGCTGGCTGCCACAGAAGCCCCTGCTTGTGCCCCTGTACCCTGTCCCCCTCCCAGTTCTTCCCCACCCCATTTCCCACCCGAGGCAACTACTGGGTATGTGGCCACTGAAACTGAGTTTTTCACTGTAATTTAACTGTAATTCAATCAAATTTAAATAGCTACATGTGGTAGCTATGTAATAGCAGCTACAGTGTTAGTTCAGGTATAGACCACTAGTTCAGCACCACAGCTTATGAAATGTTATCTGTTTTTCCTTAGGAGGACATTACTGATATCCCTAAACTTGCAGATAATCTCAAATTATTTAGGTAAGTCACCCTTAAAAGGGGAAGGTATTACTGTTAATAAAGCCTTAGAGGTAAAGAGTCCAGGAGTTTTCGTTTTTTTTTTTTTTTCTTTTAGACCATCCATTAAGCAGATTCATGGCTCACACGTAAGAGCATGAGCTTTGGCACCAGACAGACAATGGACCAAATCCTAGCTCCACAGCTCATCGCAGTGACGGTGGGCATTGCCCTCACGTCTCCGAGCCGTAGTTTCCTGGTCTATAAAATAGGGATATACCTCCTCCTGGGTTTGCTGAGAAAATTAAGTAAAATAACACGTATGAAGCATTGAGCATGGTGCCTGGCTCACAGAACACACCCATCATGTGGTGGCGTAATGGCGGCCAATGTCAGCAAGGAGGAACCGCTGCACCAGACAGTATTTTGGGGTTCTTTCACACTCTGCAAATCAGTTGTCACTAGCACTTGGATCCTAGGCTTGTAGAGAGATAGCCTTCGTTATCTACCTTTGCCTATTAAAGTATTTCTGATCAACTCCCCAAACACCTCAGGTCGACCTGAAACTGTTGAAAAAAAAAGCAGAGAATTTTTTATTTCATAGGAAAAAGGACTGCCACGTTTGTGATGGTGCCAAAGCATGTTAGGATGAAAGCAATAAGGACCCTTTGAAGTTCTATCAGTTACTTACGTTACTTTATGATTTGTTGACTTTTCCTAACAAACTGACAAGTCACTGTGTCAGTTGGCTTAAAAAGAAACAAGTTGCTTTTGATAATGCATGATGCAAAGAAAGACTTAGAAAGAATGGACAATCAATCAGGTATAAATGAGAAACAGGAATCCACAGGTAACAATGTTTGTCACTGAGTTTCTACAGGTTTGTTCTCCTTTTCAAATGTGATCTTAGGATGTGGTCTCAAACAAGAGGGTCATTAATTCAACCTCTGTGGCATTAAGAGTTGCAACCATACATACGGGTAAAGTCAGAACTACAGAAAAACAGTAACAGTTTGAATCCACAAATACATCTACATAAATTTTCAGTAATTACACTACAAAGAAATTAGGTTGCCCTATTCTCTGCCTAGAGCAATTCCAGCTCTTTATAAACCAAATAGCGAGTGTCCTTCCCATAGATGTTTTAGATGAAGAAGAAGATATCCTGGAGTAAAGCCCCACATCCACATCACTTTAGTGGGACTGATATGTTCAGACTCACAAAATCATTCTCACTTGACCAGCGGGCACTTTGTCTATCAAAGTCTCAAAATGCTGAATTTAATATAATATAGTTCATGGAAGAAAGAAGTGAAGGAGGAAAGGAAAGAGGGAGGAAGCAAAGAAGAAAAGGGAAGGGAGGAAGCAGAGTGGAGAATGGGGCTCTGTTCCTAGTGAGTGTGTGACCTTGAATAGGCCCTTCATTCCCCTGGACCTCCTTTCCTTATCAGTAGAAAAGGGCTGAACTAACCCTTTGATGTTCAATGTTGTTGGTTTCTTTAAACACGGAACCTCCTTCTTTCCTAAACTAAATCAATTGAATCCACCACATACATAGTGGACTTCAAATTTCAGCAACATGCCCTCTGATCTAATACAAATCCCAATGTTAACCATAAATACATATGAATGCTGGATAAAATAAAAATAAAAGAGTTGTAAATAAAGTTGATCTTGAAGTGAGATTGAAAAATCCCAACGTGCGGGGAAATAAGATGGGAACCTAGTTCTACAAATGAAGCCTCAGCTGCACGGAGGGAGTTGGGCCACGGACATAGATTCTCATGGCTTGGGGTTGTGATTTTTATCCCCGTTCAGAGATCAAAGATGAAGGTTTAAGGTGGGGTGTGCTTAGTGTAAGGCAGTGAGCCGGGCCTGAAGGCCCTGCCTAAAGGTGGAAATTTGCAAAAGTTGCCTTCTCTATTTAAAGGGAGTAGAAAAACTACCCATCAGCCAGAGGAATCAGTAAGGAAGTTCACGCTAGCCTGGGGTTCTGTGTGGGGAAACGAAAAGTCTCTCTGGAGAACTCAGAGCTAAAGTCTTTGCCTCATACAGATGTAGATCTAAATTTAAATATTATATGATTTAAAAAATCCTGAAAAAATAAACTAGAAACTGGATTAAGACCACAGAATCTATGAAGCCCTAGCAAATGTAACTTTAAAAATCCGTGGAGGGGAGTATCCACAATCTGGCATGCACAAGCCTTCTACAGAAAACAACAACCCCCTTTAAAAAAAAAATAAGCTGTGTCCAATAAAAATTACTAACCATCTGAATTAATGAACCACCGTAAAGGAAAAACAGACCCAACGAAAGGATTAGCGGTTCCAAAAATTTAGATAATGTCACCATTTAAAGAAACTATAAAATGAGTATGTTTAAAATCATTAAGTAGATTAAATGTGAAGTATTATAATGAAAGAGAACAGGCAATATTGAAAAGGAACCATATAAAAATTCTGGAAATAAAAAAACATAGTCACAGAGATTTAAAATTGAATAGCTACATTAACATCAAGTTTAAAAACAGCTGAAGAGAGAACTCAGGCAGTAGAAATGGGAAGTGTGATGTAAACAGAATGAGAAGGTTCAACTGCAAGTCCCAGGAGAAAATTTCAGGGAGAATCAGGCATTTAAAATAAAAAAGAACACTTGAGAATTTTATATAATTATTAAAGACAAAAATCCTTACATTAAAAAATTATAGTTCCTCTTTTTGTCTTTTTTTTAATGTACATCTTGATACAGCCAACCACTGATAAGAGAAATTCTTTAAAATCAGAAACAAAAGACAAATTTTCTACAAAGAAAAACAGTTGGGTGGACAGCAGACTTGGTTGGGGGGGGGGAATATCTTGAAAGTGCTATGAGAAGATAACAGTCAATCTAGAAGTTTCTGCCCAACCAGTTCTTCAAGATTCTACTTTTTACAAACACCCTAAATATAAAGTTACATATTTAATAAAAAAACAACAACAATGATTTATGCCCAACTGGAAGGTGTGACCACCATTGGAGAAACTGCTTTGAAATACATGAAATGACCCCACAGCAGGGTTATAGAGAAGGCCACACATAAAATTCACTCATTGCGTCATTGGTCAAGCTCCTGTAGATAAGTGGGAAAGTGATGATAGCCGGGAAATTCCATTCAGACTTAACACATTGGGCTGCAGGAGATTATCGGTGAAATTCATGTTATAAGTACAAGACTCTTACAATCTTTACAGTATTTAACAATTCATGGCTACCTGGAGCATGACCATAAAAATCTTTCCATCCCACATCAAGGCTCACTGGTTATCAGATAGAAAAGTAACTGAGGTCAAGTTACACACTTTTGTTTTTTTGAAAAATGTTTTCCAAATCTGTGACCTTTGTGATGACCACTGGCCATGAGCAATAAGCGTCCAGATGCTTTCAAGATAATGAACACACTCAATCTTAAAGAGCACATTTTGAAAACAGTTATTGGGAAATGTCTTCATTGTCACCCTGTCACCAATAATGACATTGACTATGAAAACAGTATTACCTGGACACCTTTAAAATTTGCAGGCAGAATTTTTCTGTGTTAAATGTCATCCAAATTGAGAGTTATAGTATGTATTAAATACACTTACTGAAAACATTCTGACTACTACGCATAAGTGATTAACATTAGAGAAGATGGAAATCAGTGGCTTTGTTTCAACAGAAACCTTCACGGGTAGGTAGGTGTCATTAAAATATGAGTGATGGGCCCTGGGTGGTGTGGCTCAGTGGACTGAGCATGAGCCTGTAAACAAAAGGGTCGCCGGTTCGATTCCTAGTCAGGGCACATGCCTGGGTTGGAGACCAGGTCCCCACTAGGGGGTGCACGAGAGACAAGCACACATTGATGTTTCTCTCCCTGTTTTTCTCCCTTCCCCCTCTCTAAAAATAAATAAATAAAATCTTTTTTAAAAAATATGAATGATAGGATTTAGCACAGTTGCAGTGTACTTCCCCAACTGAGATTTATGTACCTAAATAATAACCTTCCTTCTTAAAACTAACTGAACTTTTTATATCTATTCATTTTTAATTTACATGTGTAGGTTTTATAATGTATGTAATTTATTATGGTATGTTATAGATACAGGGGTAGGCAAAGTAGGTTTATAGTTGTGAGACCATGAAACAGTTTGTTCTTGTATTATGATTTATTAATATAGGCACTTATTTGTATTACAACTATAAGCCTACATTTGCCCATTTCTGTATACAAAATATCACAAGTAAACAATTGTAAATACATTAAGGCAGCGATTTTCAACCAGTGTTCCAGAAGAATTTTTAAAACATTCAATACCTGACTATTTAGTCAGAGGCACTGATTTCTATTCCCTTAGGTTGCCAAATAAAAAAATAATATCAGCCAACACAGCAATAGCCGTCCAATGTGAATGAGCCAAAACTATACCTATTCTTTTGTCAGATCAGAAAACACACACACATGTATATGTATGTGTGTGTGTGTGTGTGTGTATGTTTTTTTTGGTGTGCTGCAGAATTTTGGTAATTAGTTTATTTGTGCCATGAGATGAAAAGGTTGAATGAAAATCACTATGTTAAGGGATAGGTACTTGACATATTTTAATGATGAGTGCACCCAGTTTTTGGTTTGTTCTTGTTTAAGATTTTATTTATTTATTTTTAGAGAATAGAAGGGAAGGAGAAAGAGATGGAGAGAAACATCAACATGTGGTTGCTTCTCGCATGCCCGCCAGTGGAGGAACTGGCCTGCAGCCCAGGCATGTGCCCTGACTTGGAGTCAAACCAGTGACCTTTTGGTTCACAGGCCGGCACTCGATCCACTGAGCCACACCAGCCAGGGCGGAGTGGGCCCAGTTTTAGTTTGGAGATTACCAATCCCAAATTAGTGTTTCTCAAACTCTGGGGAATCACCTTAGGAAAGCTTATTTAAAATGCAGAGTCAGGGCCCTAACCTGGACCTACGAATCTGCATTTTGGGGATTAGAGCCTCTGACAAGCTTCCTTCTAATTCTGATGAGCATCAGGGTTTAAGAACCATTCTACAAAATAAAGTCCAGCTCCTTAGCAGGACATTCAAAGTCCCAGCCTGGCCTCCGCCCACCTTGCTGTTCTTGTCTGCATTATCCCCCATACATGGGAAGCCTGTAGCCACAGAGACTACCATCTCTCATTTCCATTGCTCAGTGCAATGCCCAGCATGAGGTTGGTGTTTAAGAAATGTTCAACCTAACTCACCAACAAGGTGCCTGGCTCTCACTCACCCCCACATTTTGAATGTGCAGCTGCCACCTTCTGAAATTTCTTTTCCCTTTTCCAATCAAATTCTTATTCATCCTTCATTTTATGGTTAAATGCTGAGTCCCTCTATAACTCTCCATACCCTCATTATATGACTTATCATATTTTATTGTATTTATTTGTTTTGTGCATTACCCTCATGAAACCAAGAGACTGTCTCATTCTTATGTACATCATTCCACACCCAGCCACCTTCTCTACTCCTCCTTCCCCTACCCAGCCTGCCCCACCCTCTGGAATTTGCAATGGAGCAGCAACTGTTAGCTTTGGGGATATGTGGAAACAGCCTAGAAGATGAACCAAACTGCAGGAGGTAGTAGAGAAAATTTGAGATCTACTGATATTTTCACAGTCCAATTAAAATAGAGAAGCACACCCTGGCTGGTGTGATTCAGTGGATTGAGCCCCGCAGGTTTGATTCCCAGTCAGAACACATGCCTGGGTTGCTGGCCAGGTCCCCAGTAGGAGGCATGTGAAAGGCAACCACACAGTGATGTTTGTCTCCCTCCCTTCCCCTCTCCATCCTGGAGAAGCAGGGTGTCATTCTTCATTCTGCATAGAAATATTTAGATGCCTGGGACTAACCTGAGACCTTACTACTTTTGGTGATAGGCTGAGTCTTTAGATTTTATTCTGAAAAAACTGTTAATGTTGGGGAATCTGATTCTTAGACAATAATCTTTTAAATATATTCTTTAGAATTACATTAACTACAACTCTCAACATTTTAATGCAGTGGTTTTCTAAATCCTAGAAATGTTCATTTATATGATATCTTTCAATTTTGTTTTATAATTTTTAGGTAACATGCTCCTGTTACACAATGTCTTTTAGTGAACATCTTCTCCCTTATCTTTGTGTTAAGGATACATTTTTTTTAACAAAGGAAAGATAAGTACTGATGTGTTAAAAGGCTTGCCCAAACTTATATATGAGTGGTATTAACACCAAGCTTCCTCTCTATCTCCCGTTCTTGAATGTAGAAATCTAGTCCTCTGCCATGAGGTCCCCTGATTCACCCCCAAGGCCAGAGTTGTTCTACTGAATCACATACAATTCATAGTATCTTTTCTATGCCCATCTGTTCCCCCTTTTCACACCCTAGGTCTCACACTTTCTATTTCAGTGACTCAGCTGAGTCCTGCGGTGGGCACTATCACCCTTGTATGGCCCAGAGAACAAGGTTTTTTGGTCCCAAACAATATCGCTGTTAGAGATCTTCCCCAAAAATATTTTAATAATAATAGAGCCTATATATATTAGCTTTAGGTTTTTGTGCTTTCCATGGCTCACTGGGAATTCTCTGCTGGTTTCTCACAAGGGTCAAGAGAAACCACAGAAAAGGTTGCTGACTTTCATGTCTGATAACTTGGAGGCTGTGCTGTCCACATGGACAGCTTTTTCAGATCTAAAGAGCAGGTGGAAATTTCAGATGTCATGGATTTGTGGATGTTTCTTACATGTAATAATAATTATTATTGCTATTACTAATATTAATAATTATTAATTGACTACTTATTTAGCACTTCCGTTGTCCCAGGTGCTGTGATAAGCACCTTTCAGAGATTACCTCTCTCCCTCCTCGCAAAAGCCCGGTGAGTGAGAGGCTATTACTCTTCCCTTCACACAGAGACAGTGCACGTGGCCCCGGCAGATGAAGTGCCTTTTCCGGGGTCACACGTGTAGATGGTAGCAGAGCCTGAGTGTAGCCCCAGGTGGTCTTCCTCTTGAGCTTTTGCATTAACTTCTACATCTCATAGCAAAACCCCACTTCTAAGTTTCTAGAAGTGAGTTGGCAATTTGAAAATTGTTTTTAAAAATAAAGCATGTGTTGTTTGAAAGAGTGTTTTGATCTGCTTGAAGTTTGTGATGTTTCTTCCCTACATTTCTGGATGGTTGTTTAAATGCTTCCCATATTTCATTTGCAGGCCCAAGAAGCTATTATTAAAAACTTTAAAACAATACTGGTTCGTCTTTAAAGACACGTCCATAGCCTACTTTAAAAATAAGCAACTTGAACAAGGAGAACCAATAGAAAAATTAAATCTTAGAGGTAAGAGGGTTCTACATCTTGCTGTGGCTTCTCATGAGCCAGCAAGCAATGGAAGCCAAGATCGCTGTTGCTGAAGCGAGCTTGCCTTCCAGTGTGGCACCGTGCTCACAATGGCGGCCGGCCTGCAGCTCCCGTTCCCTTGGCACACGGGCCTGGGGCATAGTTTAGTAAACATGGTTATTTCTATTCTGCTGTTTCTTCTTTCCCAGGGTGTGCAAGTCTATGAAGTGGGGGTGAATTGGCATCATAAGTATAATACATCGTAGGATCCTGAAAGGCTTTCTGAATTCCAGGACAGTTATGTTTCATTCAGTGTCGCTTTAATGCCTATTCTAATTTCTGAAAGTGACTGTGAGTGTACTGCTTATTCTATTAGTTGAAATATTTTATAACCAGTTATACTCAATTCCCTTATCATTGTGGCAGAGAATTTTCTCTGCTGTAATTTATTTTTTAAAGTTCATATTCATAAGCATTCCTATAGGTTAGGGTAGCCAAATCAAACTTTAAAATGAATTCAATTGATATATTTAAGAAAATCATAAAAGAAAATATTTTCCTCTATCCATGTTAATTGTTTGTAAGTCTTAGTTATCCTTTAATTAATGTTATCAACTTGCTCCTCCATTTTTCAGAAGAGAACCAAATCTGAGGGGCTTATGTTCAAAGTCTTTATTTTGGATGCACACCTGATAATTATATAACACCTTCTTCAGAACTCAATTGTGACCCTGCCTTTTATTATTCAGGCTGTGAAGTTGTGCCAGATGTGAATGTAGCAGGAAGAAAATTTGGAATCAAGCTACTAATCCCTGTTGCTGATGGTATGAATGAAGTGTATCTGAAATGTGACCATGTGAGTAAAACCATACAAATGTTCATTCACCTCACCTTTACTAAACCTAAGGACAAACCACCTGAGGTGTTTTCTCAAATGAGAACAGTGTTGCATCAGTCAGCTGTTGCATTGTAACAACCACAAAATCACAATGACGTGTAACCACGTATAACAATGACCCATGAACACTCATTTCTGGAATATCTACAAGTAGGCTGGGTGGGTGATTCAAGCTGGCATCAGCTTGGCAGATCTGCTTCGAGCTGTAGGTCTGGTTAAGCCTAGCTCTTCACAGCAGGTCAGGCTCATTGTATTTATTCTGGGTGCCTGGGGAGGCCCTTCTCACAGCGACAGCAGGAATGCAAGAAGACAACTGAAAACATCTGACACCTCCTAACACTTAGGCTTGCAATTGGTACACTGTCATTTCCACTCATATTCCATTGGCCAAAGCAAGCCTCATGGCTGGGCCAAAAAATCAAGAGGTGGGAATTATACTCTGGCTCTGGTGGGAGGAGCTATAAAATTACATGGCAGAGGGTGTTGAGACTTAGGCCAGTAATTCAGTGTACCACACCTACCATTGCTGTGAAGAATTATACTCCTCAGCTGCATCCCTTCAGCTCTGAGACCATTCCTGTTTGCTCCCTAAAGTTAAAAAAAAAAAAAAAACAGACATTAAAGGTAGACGGCACCACTCTCTGGTTCAGATCTTATCAATGGCCCTGATTCCTACTCTGGGATTAGTCTTGATAGGCCAGGACACAAATAACATGGGAACTCACAGAGATCAGATGTGATCTGAAAATGGAAATATGTATCAAGGAAGGCTGCCTGGTATTTGAGGTTTTCAGCTGTCTATGATCCATGGCACATGTCTTTCAATTCATGGAATTTATCAAGACTGACATTGCTATTCTATAGCCCTCTATCATCTAGAAACTCAACACAGGAATCAAAAGTCATTGTTGAGGGTTAAATTAGATGATGAATAGCCACTCAGAACATATGTCACTTTAATCTTACGGTGCTTGGAAGGTGACAACTTTGTATTATGAAGATGAAAGCCCAAATCCTGCTGTTCCCAAAAGGATGGCTTTGCACTTGAACTTGCATCTCATCCCTCCTGTGTTTGCTGCAGGAGAATCAATATGCCCAGTGGATGGCTGCCTGCATCTTGGCATCAAAGGGTAAAACCATGGCAGATAGCTCCTACCAGCCAGAGGTCCTCAACATCCTTTCTTTCCTGAGGATGAAAAACTGGAACTCGACATCTCCAGTGGCTTCCAGTCTCGAAAACATGGACATGAACCCGGAATGTTTTGTGTCACCTCGGTGTGCAAAGAAACACAAGTCTAAGCAGGTACTGCTAATCTTGTTGGGGTGATTGTTTGCAGCGGATTCTGTGTTTTCTTTTTTTTTTAAGTCACTGTTTTTTTTTTAAGATTTTATTTATTTATTTCTTAGAGAGGGAAGAGAGAAAGAAAGATAGAGAGAGAGAAACATCAATGTGCGGTTGCTGGGAGCTGTGGCCTGCAACCCAGGCACGTGCCCTGACTGGGAATCGAACCTGCGACACTTTGGTTCGCAGCCCACGCTCAATCCACTGAGCTACGCCAGCCAGGGCTCTGATTCTGTGTTTTCTGAAATAAAACGAGGCATTAAAATAAATGAAGAATGAAAATCAGTTGATGGGCAAACTTGACTATAGACTGAAAATTAGAGGATAGTAGGAAATTATTGTTAATTATATTAGAGGTAACAGTACTGCTAACTGAACATAGCAGTATGTCCTGGTGTAATTTAATTAAAAATAAAGTGATTTAATCCCTACTGCCGGGGTCCAGTCTCGGCAGGTCTCAGGGTCCCCAAAGGAGGAACGGCTCAGGCAAAACGAGACAGACACCAGATGTGATGCCAGAGGACAACCAGGCTCTCTAGACCTGACTGACTCACCGAGAAAATCAATCTTTATTTTTATAGGGGAGGTTATACAACATTCAATGCATAGTGTGATTATTAAAACAAAAATGACTACCACAGAAATAATTTTTAAAAACACAGAAGGTTTTACAAATCAATCATGTTAAACAAAGAAATAACCAAAAAGTACAGGAAGTCCCACGGATCAACCATATTAAACAAAGGTTATTTTGACCAAAAGGGTCATTAATCAGATAGCCAATGAAGCTATACAAGCACAAACTTTCAATGCTGATTATAATTAAATATCTACTAAGTTTCTATAGATTGGTCTAAATCAGAGGGGTACAAGGAGTGATTTAAAAATTAGTTATTGTTTATAGAAATTAGATTATCTGAATTAGATAAATGATTAACTACATATCTAGGGGGACTATGTTATGTTTCCATGTACTGAGATTATTATATTTTAATTAAAACTCCTTTGTTTTTTATCTACCTGGTCTCATCAATAACCGCTCCTGCCCAGGGCATGGGAAAGGCAGTGGTTCTAATAAATCTTAAGCTTTTGAATGGTGACTCCCTAGACATTCCTAGCAACGGCCTCCTCCAGCGTTCTGGCAGCTAGTCTGCCCATAGTTTAAATCTATCCTTAACTTTCCAGGTGGCGGGAGTGGACAGCATTAGGGTTATTAGGGGCTTCTAGTTAGTGGCCAGCAAGTCATTTCACGCAGAATCAGAGGCATCGTGCAAGGTTTTTTGTCATAAAGCACAGGTGTCCAAAAATCTCACCACCTGATGCTAATAGGGACAGGCATATGGGAAGAGATAGACAGGAGACCCGGCCACAGCTGCTTCTGCTGTGCAGACGCGTCTCGCCTGACCCCACTGTGTCAAAGGTCAGCTGTTGGACGGCTCCCAACGCCCTACAAATTAAAATTTCAGATTATGCTTCCATAAGCATGGGTTAAACGTTAAACAGATAAACTGATTCAGGTAGACCCATTGCCCATGGACACACCACTGCCCCAGAAAGAGGGACCCAAAACTCCATCTGCATGACCTTAGAAGCTTTTGTGTTGGTTGGTCTTGTTTCTGGTTCTCCCTGGTGATGAGAGAGAGAGAGAGAGAGAGAGAGAGAGAGAGAGAGAGAGAGAGAGAGAGAGAGTGTGTGTGTGTGTGTGTTGGGGTGAGGGAGGGGCGAGGGGAGGGACATGAATGAGAATGAGTTGTCCAGGTAGAGCTGCCATTGGGCTTTGCATTCATTTTCCTCATAGGGATCTGCAGCTCCAATGGGATGATTATAGAGCTGTCAGTGCATGCCAGGAGGGTTTGATGTCTCTTGTTTCTGTTCAGCTGGCAGCCCGGATTATGGAGGCCCACCAGAACGTAGCCCAGATGTCCCTGGTTGAAGCCAAGCTGCGATTCATTCAGGCGTGGCAGTCTCTACCTGAATTCGGCCTTACCTATTACCTTGTCAGGTAATTACAATGTTCACTTGCCTCTCTCACTTTCCCTTCACTTTTAAGTGGCTTTCTCAGAACCCAGTTTATTCTCACTTGGTCTAGAAGGTAGAACTCTTTTTATTTTTGAATACTGCCCTTTCACAAATGGCCCAAAACTTTTGGCTGCTCATAAAGATTTTCCATACCACGGTCCAAAGTGCCAACACCCATGAATCCTAGCTGAAAGTGGGAAAGGAGGTGTGGTCCTTTTGGGATTGCAACATTTGCGAAACCAGGGAGAGAAATCGCCTGTTGATTTGATGAAATCTGACCTCCTTTCATGTCAAATTGCCCCCCCCAACTAGACTATAAGCTCTGTAAAGTCAAGAATTTTCTGTCCATAGTAATCAGTGTTCAGAAGGGTGCCTGGCATACACAGTTGGTGCTAATTTTGAATTAATTAATTTGACCCTCCCCTCTTATTTTGCTGTCCCCTAATGTCGATTTCACTTAAAGAATATCTTCAAAACAGCCTTAATTCTCTCCACTCTTCATGTCCTCTGTATCACAATAAAAGTGCCCTTCTATAGAAAGTTAATCCCTCATTGTCCACTCTTTGTAAATGACTTAGAAATGTTGGTATGATTTATCTTTAAGAACTTGTATGTGAGTAAACACATTACAGGAAGCAGATGCTTCTTTTAATTAATTTTTTGTTTCAGATTTAAAGGAATCAAGAAAGATGACATTCTGGGAGTTTCGTATAATAGGTTGATTAGAATCGATGCAACCACTGGGATTCCAATCACCACATGGAGATTCACCAATATGAAACAGTGGAATGTAAACTGGGAAATCCGCCAGGTAAAGTGAAAGTTCAGCCTATACTTGGTGGTGAGCCTGTGCATGCCCTCAAAATTGCAGATTATTCTGATTTAAAAAGCCATTTTTATATTTAGAATTCAGAAGCCACAAGCATGTGGCACTTGTTTGCTAGAATCATCACAGACGATTCTGGGTGGTTTCCTAACAGGTACAGGCCAAAAGTGGTATCAGTTAACCCCACTGATTGGCCTCATCTCCATACAGATGCCAAAATTGCTAAGCAGTTTGATTAATTTCCTTCAACTCAGCATAGGATTATATAAGATTTAGGCTGATAATTACTTGGCAGAAATTGCATGAGATGCAGCTGTCACCTGGAATAAATCCAAAGAAAGGCCTCTTCTGACTGGCTGCAAAAGGTCTGCCTGGTTGGGACCCAGATGTTCCTCTGCCCACCTGGAGAGCATTGGTGGTGGGATGGGGGCGGGGGGGGGGTTGCCCAAAAGGGAAAAACTGCTGGAGAAGCAAGCGAGGCACACGGGGTGGCTGAGAAAAGCTTTGCCTCTTGAGCCTGGGAATCCTTGAACTCTCAGTGCCCGGGCATTGGCACCCAGGGAGCTTAGTTCAGGCCCAGGCTACATCATGGGAAATTCTAGGTGAAGTCAGAGCACCTTAGTATCCTGCTAAGATATAGAGTCCCTCCTTGCCTCAGTTTTCCAGCAGAAAACCATCAACGTCGCGGCACAGTAAGAGACTCACACTCTTTTAAAGGAGTGTCAGCGGATTTCTGTCAGTAGAGCTGTTAACCATCTGGGTGCTCATTTGTGGAATGAAGGTCTGAGACTAGATGACTTCCGAGGGAGTGGTTCTAAAGTCATTACATACAAGGATCGCCGGGGGAGTTTTAAATTACTGCTGCTCAGGCCACTCCCAAGACCAATTAAAGTGGAATGTCTGGGGACAGTGGCTGGTTCCTCAGGTGATTTGAGTGCAGTGGGCAGCCAGGGTTGAGAGTGCTTAATGTCTCTGTTTCTGCTTAGAGTTTATGACTTCCAGCTGGGAGGGCCTGAGAGCCAGCGGCTAGAGGAAATTTCAGGCAGGTCTTTTGTACTCTATTAAAAAGTCTGTAAAGTACCTACTCTTTGACACACGGAGTGCTTAGAAAGTTCTACTTCTACACAACAGACGGGCAGAAAGTCTGTGTGTGTTGGGAGCTTTCCCAGGTTCGCAGCCAAGTTGATGCCACACGAGGGCACGGAGAGCAAAGACATGTTTTCTATAAGCAGTTAGTGGATATAGTGGTTTTTTGTGGGTTTTGAAGGGAAATCCATCTGTCAGCCACCTCAGCAGTCCTCCAGCAAAGCAACTTCCTTCTCATCTTTCCCAGTCAGAGGTTCACCTGTGTCTTCCCTTCCAGGTGGCGATCGAGTTTGACCAGAACGTCTCCATTGCATTCACCTGCCTGAGTGCAGATTGCAAGGTTGTGCACGAATACATCGGTGGCTACATTTTCTTGTCCACCCGCTCCAAGGACCAGAATGAAACACTCGATGAGGACCTGTTCCACAAGCTGACAGGCGGTCAGGAATGAAGTGAAGTGGGCCTCCTGGGCCTGTACACAGGGGGCAAGCCAAGGGTGGCCCTCCTGGGACAGTGGGACCCGTGGCTCACACAAGGTGTAGATTCCAGACTGACAGACAACATATATTCACCACCAGTCACCCAGAGCCTTGCCTTGTGTCAAACACACTGCCTGGCTCACCCCTTCGGTTACTTTGCCTTGTGCTACCTGCAGTGGAAGGAGCCTCAGTTGCCTTTTCCGTAAACTGGGAGGGCAGGAGAAAGGATAGTACTCTGAGGTTACTCTAAGGCCCAGCATGTGCCTTCAGTTCTGTGACTTACAGAATCTGCAAGCCTATGGCTAAAAGTTGCTCCCATGCTTATCTGCTCCATTGCCCAGTCATCATAGAAAACAGAAACTTTAAAAGCACATGTGGCAAGCACAAATCTTATTCCTTGAACTCAGGTATAAAAAGAAATAGGTCATTCCTTAACAGAACTGCTTTTAGCTCCCATGTTGTGAACATGGCAGAGGGAATCCACACATTTCCCCTGAAGGTCAAGGTCTGGCGTTGGGGTGAGGAGAGGTGGGATTTCCTGATGCCAGTTTGTGACAAGGGATCAAAGCAATGGCCCCCAATGTCATCAGTGACATGTCCATAGTGACTTCTACCAAGGGAACCACTGGCTCAGTCTGGTTTGGACACTGGTCCTCTCAGGTTTTTGCTGCCCCCCACAAGTCCCTCTGCATTCTGGGGATCTCTTAACCACCTTCATGTCCTTCTTGATGGCATGAGTGACACAGGTACAGGGAACTTGTTCCTCATCTCAGCCCCATGTCTCCACTGCTTCTACCCAGAGTCAGGGCTCAAGAAGAAAGGCCCAGTTCTCTCTGTTCATAAAACCACCTATCCACATCCATGCTTCCATGCTTCTGATGAAGTCCCATCCCACTGGTCAGGAGGAGCAGGGCGGGACACAGGCTGGGCCCACTCCCAAAGCCCACCTTGTTAAAGGGCTGATGGCTTTCCATCTACATGGCCTTTGGCTGGTGTGGGGCAGGGCAGCCTTGCTCTTATCACTGCTCAGTGTTTTCCTAGATTTGGTGTCTGTTTAGGTGACTTCTGGCCTTACCCATTATAGGCCTTGGCTTCCATAAGTTGAAAGCTGATCATACACTTCTTTTCTCTCTGCCTCTTCTCTAAGACATGAGCATGGGCCAATGAACAGCTGCCTCAGATGTCATATTCTGTTTTGGTTTGTCAGCACTGGGAGGAGTAGGGCTTTGAGGAAGTATAAAGCAATACCAACAGTAGTGGGAAATATCAGACAGTATTTTATTACTTTGTTATAATGTTCTTTTGTCACACAAAGGACTTGGGTTGCCAGGGTAATGCAGAGGCTGCATTTCCATTTTGAAGTTCTCCAAGATGCAGACTTCAAGGGGCCTGTCCAGAGCTCAGATACCAGGAAATATCAGCTAGCTGTTGCTTTATTTCCCGAAAAAGCCCTTTGAGAAGAGAGATCTCCAGAATTCCTGGAGCCACAATGAGGCAGCCTTGCATAGGGACGCCGGAACCCTGAGTCAGAAACTGTCCCTGGAAATCTCTCTTTTGGCCTTTCCTTAGAGGTCAGTGTTAATGAACACTCCCCTGGCTGCAGCTGAACTTCTGATGTCTACCTTTAAAGCTCAGAGGTGGCTTAGGCACTTGGAAAATCTGATCCATGTCAAAGAATTTCTTTCGAAATGTTTTATATAGAAACTAGTGAAGAGCATAGTGTGTTAAACTTGGTGTTGGTCATTTCTCTAGACTCCTGGGCTCTATTATCTTAGAACCTACTCAGGTCTGTAAGGTTATGTTGGGCCCTACATTAAAATAATGCTCCCTGTTGTGACATTTCACCTGTCTGCTGTCAAGTACAGCTCTGCGTAACTTACCAGAGCCAACCTTCAGCGCAACCCTCTTCCTTGGCATTTCAGGGTTGTCTGACATTTCTATGAAAACGCTCAAAGGAGCCGACCGGGTTTAACCAAACTTTCCGGGAACATTTCTCCTGTGTCCACACGATCACATCCCAGAGGAATAAACAAGTGTGAAACAGAAATCTTAAATGCTGCTGCTATTCCAAAGGGCAACACAAGGACATTTTTTTACTTAGGGTGCAAAAGGTCATTGGACTAATGATGAAGTTTTAAATTAAAGTGCCTTTCAGTCCCATTTGCTTTCTTATCTACACTAGGTTGGGAAATCTGCCTTTTTTGTTATTTTTATATGACTTCTAAATTAAATGGTTTATATGGACTTAAATAAGTCCAGTGTGTTCTCTCCAGGCTGCTGTCTCTCACAAGGTGAACATTTTTCTCTGTCATGGAAAAGGATGCGACTTGCAGGTTTAACGGGCAATTTTCCTCACAGTTCTGAGATTTGCGCTTCTCCCCACTGAGACTGACTTCGAACCTGTTGGTTTCAACTCCTTTCTCATTGACCTCCACTAGATTTCCTGACGTGTTGTGAGCTCTTCTGTTCCAGGTCTGCCTTTTGAAAAAAGTACCAGAGAGCAAGGAAACGTCCAGAGGCAGAGGAGCATCAGTGGGTCTCTGATTTAATGGCCAAACATCAAGGGCATTTCTCTGATTTGTTACCAGATGGTCCATATGGGCGGTGATGTACCCTTTAATGCAATTCTCACACCAACCCATAGGGGGCAGGACGAGTTTGCCTTCTCATTTCACAGAGGCGAAAACAGGTGGCTCAGCCTGGTGGTGGGGGCAGTTGGTGGACTGGGGAAAATAGGTGAAGGGATTAAGAAGCACAAATTGGCAGTTATAAAATAGTCACGCAAAGGTAAAGTGCAAGACAAGGAATATAGTCATCACTGTTGTAATAACTGTATGATGTTTGGGAGGTACTAGACTGGGCGGTGGGGGTACTTCATAAGTTATATAAATGTCCAACCACTGTGCTGTACACCTGAAACTAATATAAAATTGAATGTCAACTGTAATTGAAAAACAAAATTAGAAAAGAAGAAAAAGGTAACTTTGCCCCAGGTAACACCGCCAGTAAACAGTGGAACCAGGTTCAAAACCAGGTTTGTCTTAATGCCAAAGACCACAAAGTTTAAACCTGCAAATCCCACCCTTCCATTTCCATCACTGCTCAGTGTTGAAATGCCTGTGCCCATCCCCAACCCTAAGTGCAGGCTTCCCCTGAGTTCCCTGTGACCCTCACACGGGTAGGAGAGGGTAAGGGGTGCTGGGGAGTGCCTGCCACAATGTTAGCTGTGGGTGGTGCAGGTGGATCAGAAAGTTCTGGGAGCCAGAGAAATGAGTTGCCTGGAGAGTGTTTTATTTATGAGTCTGGGAAAGTTGTTTTTAGTCCCAGGCCAAAAAAGAAGCAAATGAGCCCTGGCCAGTGTGGTTCAGTTGATTGGAGCGTCATTCCATAAACCAAACCAAAAGGTCACAGGTTCATTTCCCAGTCAGGGCACATACTTAGGTTGTGAGTTCAGTTCCCAGTCAGGGCACATACCTAGGTTGTAGGTTCAAGTGCAATTGAGGCATGTACCAGAGACATCCAATTGATGTTCTCTCTCACTCTCACTCTCTGTAAGATCAATAAACATATTCTCAGGTGAGGATTTTTTTAAAGTAAGCAAATGAGTCATTTGAAAAGTCATCTTTGATTTGTAGGCACTTAGAAGCCAAAACATCTTGCAATATTTACTTTCTAAAATCACTAAAAACTTCTTTTAATTATTACTTCTTTTTCACTTCAGTACATTTAACATCTCACTTATTTTCACTATTTTCCCACACAAATGTTATTTTCCTGCCTTCTACCCTCCCTCCTCTCCTACCCCAGAATCTCTGGGGAAGGGTGATGATTGGGAGGGAGCATTTTTATTCTGATATTTTGCCCCTTTTTTTCCCTTATTCTCCCTACCCCCACGGGCCTTTGGATCCTGGAAACCATGGATGGAAAAATTAAAGGTGACTCAGCACCTGGCCCTTTCTGATGTTAACGTTTCCCCAGCCCATCAGCACCTGGTACCTCCGGAGCTGTGCGGAAACACTGAGCGCTATCACAGGAGAACAGAACATCAGCCTGCTCCATGCTCTGTCCTCACAAGTGGCTGTGCTGGCCTGGACTCCCACTGTCGCAGGTTCTCTGACCTCTTTAGAGCACAGCCCTTCCTGCCGAATAAAAGGTGGGATTCTAGTAAACCACCCTTGAGCCCAGAGACCCATGGAAGCCACTTTGGGTAACACCAGATCACATGATTCAGAAAAAGACTGCCCACATTTACCCACACATCCCAGGGTGCATCAAAACTCAGTGACCTCCGAAGAGCCCCTATGAATTAAAACACATAAACAGAATGGCAATTAGTTTCTCTCTAGACACACCAATGCTCCCAACTAACAACTGTGGAAAAGATTCTTTTGACTAAATAGATTGACTTTCTTCCTCTGACTCACTGTATCATCTTGAAGTCCCGTGATTCCCCTGAGTGCCTGTTTCTTCCACTGTTACAGAGGAAAACTCCCATAGCCACTTCCCCTCAGGGGACCTCCAAATAATGAATGTCGTCTGCAAACTTAGCAGGATATTATTTCTATTCTTCTGTGTAGCACAGGAGCTCCAAGTCAGGGAGCTGCGTAAGTGCTCCTGATATTCTGAAAACCACCAGAGGACCAGCAGGTGTGGACGTGCCCCGTATCACACATTACAGGGGAGCACACTGATAGCAGCAGATCAGCGCAGATCGGTGGGAAAGCAACCGCGCCTCCTCCAGCCTTGGTACTGTTCATGGTGTTAGGGAAGCAACAATGGCAGCAGGGAGGGAGCCACCGTGGCGTGTGAAAGTGCTACAGGTTTGTGATAGACACAGGGGCTTTGAGACACAGGGGCCCTGAGAGACTATTTTTCTGATTCCTTGTGGCTGATGGCCAGGCAGCCATCTGTTCTCTGAGGTGGAGGGACTGTGTCTTGAGCTACCCCACATTCTGCCAGTGGAAGTTGAGAGGTGAGGCCATTGGCTGCTCCTTGAGATCCCTGGGACACAAAAGTGAGCCCTGAGGGAGAGGCGGAACCATCTGAGAAGTGCCCAGAGCCCCAGGCCTGTGTTATCTGATTCAGAGGTCTTAGTGGCTCCAAAGAGGGCCCATGACAGAAAGGCAAGGGAAGTTACAAAAAATAATTTTTTTAGAAATTAGATATATTTAAGAAAAGAGTAGGAGTTTGCACAGGACCTGGGCCCAGGGCTCAACACATAGGCACAAGTGTTGATGATGGGGTGGTGGGTTTAGGCCTAGTACCTGGTTTGGGCTGGTAAAGAAAAGCCCACTTGTGCCCGCTATGGTGGTCAGGAGAGAGCAAGGTCACTCCTGCTGGCAACACTGAGGAAGTCCAGGGAGCCAGTGCTGTAATGATGGGGTCTCCAGGAACTGGGCAGGGCTGGGGATGGAGGTGCTTACAAAGGAGTCCTGTATCTCTGTGCTACCACCTAAAATGTTCCCAAAGAGCCGGGCCAGCCCATATGACCCAGTGTCATCTTAATAAACGTAGCGGGACCAGTGTTTTTTTTCTGGGTGTTACAAAGCCCACACGCCCAACTTCAAAACGGAAAGTACCCTTGTTGCTATGGAGAGTTGGATACTGAAATTAAACCCACAGAGAGGGCAGCTTGAGGCCTTGCTCTTCAGAGTGCGGTCCTTGGACCAGCAGCACTTCTCGGCGAGGCAGAATCTCTCAGGACCAGGACCAGGGTGAATCAAGCGGGGCACCAGGGCACAACATTTAAGGACCCTTCACAAACATAAGGGTCATGCAGTGCCAGGCTAGGCGCCTCTTTGCCCCGCCCTGGTACACACTGAAGTTTGCGAAGCCCTTGCCTAAGACACGTAGCATGCCGCTGGCAGGGAGGAATTGTCAAGTAAGAGTGTCAATGCCAGAAACTCTGTAAGCCGGTGTGCTGAGTTAACCAATGTCCCCTACAACTTCATGTCTACCCAGAACCTGTGAATAATAACTTGTTTGGAAATAAGGCCTTCAGAGAGGCAATCATGTTAAGATGAGGCCATACTAAATTGGGGTGAGTCCTCAATCCAGTATGACTGGTGTCCTTATAAGAAGAGGGGAAGAGACACAGAGAGACAGGGAGAGAGAAGGCCATGTGACATTGGAGGCAGAGATTACAGTGATGCAGCTGCAAGCCAAGGAATGCTGGCAGCCACCAGAAACTAGAAAGGGGCCAGGAGGGGCTTCTTCCCGAGAGCCTTCAGAGAGAGCATGGTCCTGCTTACACTTGACTTCTAGATTCCAGAACTGTGAAAAAATTATTTCTGTTTGAAGCCACCAGGCTTGTGGTAATTTGTTAGGGCAGTTCTAGGAAAATAATGCAGCCAGAGTTTTTACATCTTTAAAAATGGAGACACTGCCTTCCCCACCATGTCACCGGGCTATTGAAAGAATATGTGAGAGAATAACAAAAGATATTTTTAAAACTATAAAGTGCAATACAAATAAAGTATTTTTATTTTAATGAGAACATTTTTTCAACTATAAAAGTATTTTTGTAGATGTTTTCAAAAAAGTATGATAGTTTGTGTGATAGTTGGATTATTACTCGGCAAATACTTGCTCCACTCCCACTGTGGGTAATGTATATTCCTGCCCCACTGATGTGGGCTTGGCCATATGACTTCCTTTGGCCAATGGCTTTTTTAATGGCTATGATGTGAGCAGAGGCCTCCAATGTGCTTGTACAATTTGGCTGGCCCCTTGCAGTCCTGCCATCTACTGTGAAACCAGGTCCCCCAGTTAATCACCTGGGCTCAGAATGAGACACATGCAGCAGATCTGAACTCAGTCCACAGCCTGAGCCTAGCTAACACAAGTCCACAAGCCTAGCTAGATCAGCTGACCCACAGACTATTAGTAAGGGAATAAATTCTTGCTACTGTAAGCCAGTGAGGTTGGGGGTAGTTTGTTAAGCAGCACTATTGTGGAATAGCTGACTAATACATGATGAAATGTCACAAAAAGTATGAAAAGAAATCTATCCACACTAGCACTATTCAAAGACATACACTGTTGGCATTTTGAAGTGTGTCTTTCTAGTCTTCATATCATCCTGTATTCTGATTTTTGCTTTTGTATTTTTATATGGCATCTATTAAGTCATCCCAGATCCATAAAAAAAAAAGAATCTATATTAGTCCTGGATGAATGCAAATCATGGAGCTGTGATCCTGCCCTAAAGAATTCAAAACCTGCCCTGGCTGGCATAGCTCAGTGGATTGAGT